ACACACACACACACACACACACACACACACACACACACACACACACACTCACACACACACACACACACACACACACACACACACACACTCACCACACACACACACACACACACACACACACACACACACACACACACACACACTCACACACACACACACACACACATACACAACACACACTCACACACACACACACACACACACACACACACACACACACACTCACTCACTCACACACACATTCCCTCACACACCCTCACTCTCGACAATGAACTCGACGTAGAAAGCAAATTTGCATCTGAACATTTAGCGCCGTAACAACTACTACTACCAACTCTCAGGAGCCATTTTGTCCCAGATTACATATTCCCAGCGAGTCGTAAGATGAATTTTTTACCCTTAACTGGAGATGTAAGGCTCTTCCTCTTTCCTCCCTTCTTTCCCTCCCTCCCTCCCCTTCCTCCCTATCTTCCTTTCCTCCCCCTCTGCAGATATTCCTCCCTTCCCTCCCTCCCTCAGACACGACACAAAGGTAATTCTCAGAAGGTCTTGGAGGGCACATTTGAGCTGTGATATAATGGTGGTGTTTCAGTCAATACCAACTTGCAGGAAGGATGTCTATCTATCTATCTATCTATCTATCTATCTGTCTATCTATATATATGTCTATCTATCTATCTATCTATCTAAGTAGAAGGAAAATAAGCCGATGTAATTTGGGTACTGTGGACACAATTGCTTCAGGTAAACTGTGAATAGATTGTACTCTCTCTCTCTCTCTCTCTCTCTCTCTCACGAAACGCCTTAGTAAGCTCCACTGACCCGGATCATCACACGATTGTAACCATGAGATAATATTTGTCTTGCTGCTGTAGTGTGCGTGTGTGTGTGTGTGTCTGTCGTGTACACAAATTAGAGTTCGTGATGTGGTTGTCCTTTCTTCGTAACATAACTGGTGCGTCACTAAAGGATTGGGGGGAATGGGGCAAGGGGGTACTACTACTACTACTACTACTACTACTACTACTTTTATTATTTTTATAACCAACGTTACCTCTGACGTGCGTGGCCAAAGACTGTATTATTGGATCTTACGTGACATTGTGAGGGGTGAGGGAGAAGGGGGAGGTAAAAGGCTGATTGGAGGGTAGTCGAAGGGAGAGAGAGAGGGGTAAGGGGAAGGCAGGAGAGTTATGAGGGAGGGTAGGACGGGAAAGGAAGTGATGGTGGCGCCACATGACCACTGGCGGCAGACACAGACACTGCGTCACCATCTGTCTGTATCTTTGTCGTCCGCTGTTATCGTCTGTGACTGTAGTTTGTATGTATGTATGTATGTTCTTTGGGGGAGGGGGTCACTTTAAATGCCCTCCCCCTGCCCACACACACACACAGAAAGACCATCACACTGACGCCAGAGTCCAGGGGATCGACCCAGGTGCTGTCAGGTTGCGTGTTGAGTCCACTGTCTCATGTCTCCACTCACGCCAGGGGGGGAGGGGTGGTGGTGGTGGTGGTGGTGGTGGTGGTGGTGGTGGTGGTGGTGGTGGTAGTAGTTAAAGAGTGGGGTTGGTGAAGGAAAAGATGGAGTAAGAGGAAGAATAAAAAGATAAGGAGGAGGAAGGAGAAGTGGGAAATGAGGAAGATTAAGAAGAGGGAAGGAGGGTAAGGAGAGGAAGAATAAGGAAGAGGAAGGAGTAGGAGGAAGGGACGGAAATAAACGTAGGGGAATCGACCCGGGGCGGTGTGTGTGTGTGTGTTTAAACTGGCTGCATGACGTACACAGTTGGACTACCCTCCTACACACACACACACACTTGTTCATTCCCCAGATTCTGTCGCAGTTATTCTCAGTCTTCAAGACATTCTCTGAGTGTTTGTTTTCTTAAGACAAAGTTTGATCGACTGTCAGTGGTAAGTAAGAGGTCTCTCTCTCTCTCTCTCTCTCTTTGGAACTACCATAGCGTGAGGGAGTAATCCACTATCCATCATCTCACATAATCTCTCTGAGGGAGGAAGGGGGTGAGATGAGAGAGAGGGAGGGTGAGGGAGAGGGAATTGAGAGGGATAGTGGGAGGAAGGGAAGAAGGGTCGCGTGTTCTCAAATCTCATGATAATTTTCTTAATGTCACCCCAGACTTCAATGTTCACTTTCTCAATTACGTAAATCGTTTTTTTTTTCTGTATATAAGTTGGAATTAAAAAACAATTATTTAGGGTAGAGTATCAGCTCAATATGGTCGCAATTTTGCCTACCATCTCTTGTGATTGGTTAAGTGAATCGATTATTAATGCGTTGTTACGTCACCAATTAAGAGAAAATTTTAACATAAGAACTTTTAATAATCCATCTTTGTATCGAAACTTGAGTGTGGTATGTGGTAATAACTTAAAAACAAAGATGGCTGACAAATATCTCCGAACCCACACTTAAATCCGAAAATTTACTGGAAAAATTCGTATATAAATAAAAATATCTATTCTCAGAACCCTTTGAGGATGTCGGCCAAGACTGTGCATTACTGGAGGAACACTGTTGACAACCTTTTAGAAAACTGTTGTGTGGTGGTAACGTAAAAAAACATGGCTGACAAATAGCTCCGAGACTCAACTTAGGACAGAAAACTGGATAAATTTGGATTAAACGAAATATATTTACCGTAAGAAGCTTCTGAGAATCTAAACTCTGGCTGTATATTACTGGAACACTGTTGACAACCTTTTAGAAGATTGTTGTGGGGAGTTAGAGTAAAAAACAGGGAGTTGAGAGCTGCTGTGAAGGACGCTGGCTTTACTGCATATTAAGTGAAGAAGTTTATGCTGTGCATCGTCAACTTAATATCCAACATGTCGCCTGAAGTGTGTAGAGACTTGAGCTTGATGCTATGTGTGTTTATTATGTGAGACGATAAATATTGCGACATATTGTGATAGATAATATTTTGTGGAAGTTGTGTTGCGTGTGTTCACCCACCACTAACCTAACCTAACCTAGCTTAACTTAGCCTAATCTAACCTAACCTAACCTAACCTAACCTAACCTAACCTAACCTAACCTAACCTAACCTAGCTTAATTTAGCCTAACTACTAACTAAACCTAACTTCTAACCTAACATCTAACTTAATCTAACCAAACCTAACTTAAAAACAAAATACCACGACTTTTGCTAAATTATAAAGTCATTGTTGTCTCCAAATGTTAGGTCAGGAGAATTAAATGTTTAAACAAAGGTTAATGTTGCTGAGTGTGTGTGTGTGTTGTATGGGGGGGAGGGGGGATAATGTTTGTGTGGTAATGACTGAGTTTGTTGTGTTTGGCTGGGACAAGGGCTTATTGTTACTGCTGTGTGTGTGTACGGTGCTGTTAATAGTGGGGAAGTATATTTCTCTCCCTCCTTCTGTTTTCCTCTCTCTCCCTCAACCCCCTCCCCCCCCCCTCCCCCCAACACACTCCGACTTTGTGGCGCTGAGACCCGTGTTAGTGGCGCTGATATTAAAGGTTTAGAATAGTACAGTTATTCAACACTGGCTGGCTCTCGGGTCAACCAGCTCTGTCATTCTCAATAGGACTTTGTAAATGTTAACTTCTTGTGGTGTTTTTTGAGTTGAGTTGTGTAGGTGTTTGTTCTCTCTCGCTGTGGGTTAGTCAGAAACGGGAGTGAATGATATAGGTACACACAGACAGACTCTACACACATACATTAATACATGAACATAAATCTTCAAAACAAAAAATAATGTTGAATAAAAATCAGTGTTGTGTGTTTTGATGTAAGGAAAAGTGTTGATGTACTGTGTAGGGTAATGTAGTGTGTGTGTGTGTGAGGTTAGATGAGGATATGTTAGGTTAATTTAGGTTAGGTTAGGTTGGATTCGGTAATGTTAGGTAGGATTAATTTGGTAGTATTAATCCATAGTGAGGAAAGATTAATATAGTCGTGTTATATTTACCCAAATTACCTCACACCCAAGATTAGTTAAAAAGACAGATTAAATAATTAAGAAATAAATCAAAACACAGGTATTGAAAACGCCATTCACTTAACTAATCCTTAAGGTAAATTAATTAAGAAAATATTAATTAGACTTGCTAATTAATTGTTATGTTGATAATTATGTAGATATACGAGTATATTGCTTTATAATGTAGATGTATGAAGTAGATAAATTATGTTAAGAGTGTGATATAAAATGACTTTGTAGTTTGTTAAAGAACATGCGGAAGAAAAAAAAATAATTAAAACTAGATCACACATACACACACACACACGCACACACACACACACACACACACACACACACACACACACACACACACACACACACACACACACACACACACTCACACACACACACACACACACACACACACACACACACACACACACACACACACACACACACACACACACACACACGCCTGTTATGTTAAGTATTAAGTTAGTTTAAGAGTTAATATTAGAAAACAAAGTTGATGTTTAATACATGAGTGTGAAATTAACTAACTGGCAACCTCTCTTCTTATAAGCCCTTCTTCCGTGTAGAGAACATTTTATTTCTTTTCTGGGTGTGTTAATAAGTGGAGGTCTTATGAGAGAAGTTTGTTATTGGTGAGGTCTCTCTCTCTCTCTCTCTCTCTCTCTCTCTCTCTCTCTCTCTCTCTCTCTCTCTCTCTCTCTCTCTCTCTCTCTCTCTCTCTCTCTCCATCTCCATCTCTCTCTCTCTCGTTCACTCCTTCACATATCCACTAAATCACCTTCTCTCACTCTCACCAATAACTCTCTCTCTCTCTCTCTCTCACTCTCTTACCACTACTTACACACACTCTCTCTCTCTCTCTCTCTCTCTCTCTCTCTCTCTCTCTCTCTCTCTCTCTCTCTCTCTCTCCTCTCTCTCACATATCACTCAATCTCACCTTCTCTCACTCTCACACCACTAACTCTCTCTCACTCTCACACCACTAACTCTCTCGCTCACTCTCTCACACCACTAACTCTCACTCTCTCTCTCACTCCCAGGGTTGTGTGACAACATCCAGTTATGTGAGCAGTTGTGTTACAATCTCCATGATGGGACCTTTGAGTGTACCTGCCAGCAAGGTTACTCCCTCGAGCCTGACGGATACAGCTGTACCAGTAAGTATCTGTCCACTGTACCGGGACCTGGAGGGGTCTCACTGTACCGGGACCTGGAGGGGTCTCACTGTACTGTACCGGGACCTGGAGGGGTCTCACTGTACCGGGACCTAGAGATACGGCTGTATCGGCACCTAGAGGGTCTGGCTGTACCGGGACCTGGAGGTCTCACTGTACCGGGACCTGGAGGGGTCTTACTGTACCACTTCCAGGACCTAGGGGTCTCACAATACCGGGACCTAAGAGGGGTCTCACTGTGTACCAAAGGTAAGGGGAGTCTCACTGTACCGGGACCTGGGGGTCTCACTGTACCGGGACCTAGAGTCTGACTGTATCGGCACCTAGAGGGGTCTGACTATACCGGGACCTGGAGGGGTCTCCTGTACTGGGACTGGAGGAGTCTCACTGTACCGGGACCTGTGGTGAGTGCTCACTGTACCGGGACCTAGAGGAGTCTCACTACTGGGACCTGGTGGGGTCCTGCATGCCAGGACCTGGTGGGATCTCACTGTACCGGGACCTGGTGGGATCTCACTGTACCGGGACTTGGTGGGGTCTCACTGTGCCGGGACCTGGTGGGGTCTCATTGTACCGGGACCTGGAGGGGTCTCACCGTACCGGGACCTAGGGGGTCTCACTTGCCCAAGGACCTGGAGGGGGGGTCTTGCTGTACCGGGACCTAGAGTCTCCTGTACCAGGACCTGAGTGGGGTCTCACTGCACCAGGACCTGGAGGGGTCTCACTGTACAGGGACATAGAGAGGTTTCACTGGCCACCCGGGACCTGGATGGGTTTCACTGTACCCGGGACCTAGAGGGGGTCTGACTGTACCGGGACCTGGTGGGGTCTCACTGTACCGGGCTTGGTGGGGATCTCACTGTACCAGGGACCTGGTTGGGTCTCACTGTACCGGGACCTGGAGGGTCTCACTGTACCGGGACCTGGAGGTCTCATATACCGGGACATAGGGGGTTTCTTGGGACCTGGAGAGTCTCCACTGTACCGGGACCTGGAGGGGTCTCACGCATGCCGGGACCTAGAGGAGATCTCACTGTGCCGGGACCTAGAGGGGTCTCATTGTACAGGGACCCTAGAGTCTCTCACTGTACCGGAGTTAGAGGGGTCTGACTGTACCTGGAGTACATTAGTATTAGTACCTGTCCACTGTACCGGGGTTAGAGGGGTCTGTCTGTACCGGGGTTAGAGGGGTCTGTGTACCGGGGTTAGAGGGGTCTGACTGTACCTGGAGTACATTAGTATTAGTACCTGTCCACTGTACCGGCGTTAGAGGGACCTTATTTTTTACCTTCACACAAAAATTTATTCAATCACAACCCAGCTGAGAGAGAGAGAGAGAGAGAGAGAGAGAGAGAGAGAGAGAGAGAGAGAGAGAGAGTATGTGGATCAGGCAGGTTAATAATAATCAAGGTTAAATAAATCATAAGTATCATGGTGGCCAAAGGTAATAAATGATATAAATTAATTCTTACTTATTAAACAATAAATTATAAAAATTAATTTCGACTTAATATACCATACAGTTAATATACCTTTAAAACGTTAATAATATAGACGTTTAAATTATTACAGGCAGGCGTCTTGTTCATGAGGAAACAGTTAATTTGTGTCCGTGTTAATGTTACCGAGGAGTTTGATGTGGAGGGTTGAAGGGGGGGTGGCGGGGTGAGTGGCAGGGGAGGGTGGGGGTGAGTGGCAGGGAGGGTGGCAGGGGTGAGTGGCAGGGAGGGTGGCAGGGTGGGTGGCTGGGTGTTTTTTTTTTTTTAGAGAAAGGAGGGTGAAGAAGATGAGAGGTGGGAGAAGGAAGTTATAGTTCAGAAATTGAAGAAGTTTAGGAGGAGGTAAGAGAGGGCGGGCTGACCGCCTAGCTAAGCTAATAGTGTGTTGGGGTTGTGTCATGGGTTATTTATTGTCTGTCGGTACAGGGACTAGACATCCATCCATGGGTGTTTTAAAGGGCCTTATTTCATATTCCCGCCGACCCTACTGGCGGATGTTGGTCTAGGAAGGTTGTCATTGCCTGGCCGTGTATGGTTGTATGGTTGTTGTCGTTATCTGGTGGGAGTCTTTGAAGGAGTTCTTGCTCTGATCGTTCTATCTTTTGCCAGACTCTGTTGGCCAGGGTGTGCAGCTGCTGGTTGATGGGTTTCATTCTCAGGTCTCTATGTATGGCGGGGTGGGTGGCCGGGAGGGTGGCGGGGTGGGTGGCCGGAAGGGTAGCGGGGCGGGTGGCAGGGAGGGTGGCGGGGTGGGTGGCAGGGAAATTCACGAGTTGAGGGTCTGACTCAGTTGACGACACACTAATTACATATGCATAGTGGGCGTGGGAAAAATGGGCGGCGGTGCGTAAACTGTTTTGTTGTTGCCGCTGTTAATTAAGAGATAGTTTTAACGAGTCTCTCTCTCTCTCTCTCTCTCTCTCTCTCTCTCTCTCTCTCTCCATGACAATTTCTAATACATTTTACTGTTTAATTAACGTCTATCATCCTAATGAGGTAACTGTCATGGTTACTATCATTTACCTGTCTCTGAGGGTTGGCGACCACAGCCCTCCACCACTGACCTGTCTTCACCAATCCTCCCAGATGTTGGGGACCACAACTTTTTATTTTATTCTCAAGCTCAATCTCTACCTTGCTTTGACTTTCCTGCCCTCAGTAATACCCATTATCATCTCTACCATTATCCCCTACGCCAAATTTGACCTATTAATATCTACCATTATCCCTTTGCCCTTCATTTTACCCATTAATATCGCTATGATTGGTGCCCAAGTCCCCAGGGAGCTCTATGATTGGTTTACAACTCCCAATAAGCGCTGTGATTGGTGCACAAGGCCCCAGGGATTAAGAGTGACAGGAGGGGCTGTCAATCTTTTCACTCACCAAATTGGCTAATCCACCCTCGTGATGTGCGGCCAATCTGTGGCTGTCAGTGAGTCCTGGTGTAAAGGTGTTCATTTAATACCTGTGTGTGTGTGTGTGTACATAGTTGACCAATATGTATCTAGGGTACTGTACATATTTTACCTACATATAGTGTTCATTCGGTTGTTATTGTTATTTGGTGTGTAATATCGTGTACTCCACCGGTCATGTACACCACGTTTGGAGTACATGTACACGCTTGAAACAGAAGCTGGCGACCTCTGTAATGTGAAGGTCCTCGCGTCAACACAACCCGCCATTACCTGGGCACACACACACACGAACATATACCATGTGTCTTGTGCAGTACATATACAACCCACTTCCGCTTTTTAGTACAACATCTCAATACATGTACAACAGCCATGATGCAGCCCTTGATAGTCTGGAAGAGAGAGAGAGAGAGTATAAACTAGGCATGTCAATGAACGCTGGCCAACATGACTTAACTAAAGGGAATAGCCTACACTGCCCCGGGGTCGAGTGTGACCTACCTCACCCTCGACCACACACACTACCTCACCCTCGACCACACACACACACTACCTCACCTTCGACCACACACACACACACCCTCGACCCACACACACACACACACACTACCTCACCCTCACACCACACACACACACTACCTCACCTCAGCTACACACACACACACTACCTCACCTACCACACTCACCCTCTCTCCTCCTCTCATCACCCCCCGCCTCTCTCCCTCCCTCCCTACCTCCCTCCTCTCTCCCCTCCCTCTCATCCCCCACTCCTCTCTCCTCCCTCTCCCCCCACTCCTCTCTCCCTCCCTCTCATCACCCCCCTCCTCTCTCACTCCCTCTCATCACTCTCCCACTCCCCCTCTCATCACCCCCACTCCTCTCTCCCTCCCTCTCCTCTCCTTGTCCCCTCCTCTCCTCCTATTCTCCCTATCTCTCTATCCCTCCCTCCGCCATCATACATTCCCACAGGCTATAATCACCATAAATCATGATACTCGTCCGATAAACACACACACACACACACACACACACACACACACACACACACACACACACACACACACACACACACTACACTAACGACACAAAACTGCACAAAAGTTTACCCCACTACTCTAATGCTCTCCCTCAGTCAAAGTGGGACCCCAGCCTCCAGGTACACGAGTCTCAGTCAGGTGCAGTGAGGTACCCCACCCCCCAGCCCTTTAACCCCACCCCCGGCCCCCCACTACCCCCACCATCCCTCGCCCTCCTGTATTCAGTTCATTCCTACCAAGACGCAACTCTCACTGTCTGACTGCACCACCACACCACACTACCACACCACTATCCCAACACCACATCACCAAGGAGTGTAGGGGTGAGGGGAAGGAGGAAGGGCGTCATCAGGTCTGGCTGAAACTAACAATGGGACACCAAGATTGAATATGTGAATAACTCCAGTCACAATGCTGGCCCTCTCTCTCTCTCTGTGTTGTACAGTATCTTTAGTGATTGAAGATGCATAGTGGCACCTCAGGAGGTGTAGTGGCACCTCCAGAGGGGTAGTGGCACCTCAGGGGTAGTGGCACCTCAGGGGGTGGCACCTCAGGGGACCTAGTGGCACCTCAGGTAGTGGCACCTCAGGGGGAGTAGTGGCACCTCGGGGGGGTAGTGGCATCTCGGGGTAGTGGCACCTCAGAGGGTGTGGCAGAGAATGGTGGCACCTCAGGGAGTAGTGGCACCTCAGAGGGAGTGAGTGGCACCTCAGGGGGTAGTGGCTCAGAGGGTAGTGGTGCCTCAGAGGTGATGTGGCACCTCAGAGGGGTAGTGGCACCTCAGAGGGAGTAGTGGCACCTCAGAGGGTAGTGGCACCTCAGGGGTAGTGGCACCTCAGAGGGTAGTGGCACCTCAGAGGAGGGTAGTGGCACCTCAGAGGGTAGTGGCACCTCATGGGGTAGTGGCACCTCAGGGGGTAGTGGCACCTCAGAGGAATACAGTGGCACCTCAGGGGGTAGTGGCACCTCAGCAGGTTCTCTAGGGATCATTAAATGGATGTTTGTTTGTGTGTTCACATCGTATTTCACCTGCGTCAGTCTCTCTATGTATGCTATGTCTAACTGACTGACTGACTGACTCGAGTGTTTAAGTGTTATGTATTATAATATTTATAACTAATAACTACAAGAATAAGAAAAAATATAATACCGTTTGTAATAATACCAATAATAATAATAATAGATGTTGATGATGATGATGGTAACATTTCACCCTCCACAGGGCTGAACTACACCAAGCTCGACTCGTCAATATTGTATGAAAAAGAGGCGTCCTTCGTGGCTGTACTGGACGACAACGACTACCAATCGGATTCTGCCGGGTCGTATCAGCTTGGCGAATCCGAGGTCGGTGGTCCACACGCTGCCAGGTACCAATCTGGCCCCAATCAAGTGTATAACCAAGAGATTGACTATAACCAGTTGATTGACAGAGCTGATATATTAAACTATGACAAGTGAGTCTCTCTCTCTCTCTCTCTCTCTCTCTAACTACTAATTAAGAAAATAAAATATAACACACCATTGAAATATTTCTTTACAACGCGTTAAATACATAACTAATAACAAACAAACATTTAACTACCACGACAATAGCTTTACCTAACCCTATATTGATCTCCACAGATACAAGACGGAGCGAGAGACCCTGCTGGAGAACCTAGGAGCTGAGGAGGAGACCGGCCCGGAGACCTTCTTGGAGATAGACTCAAGAGATCCATTCCACCCCCACACTTCTCCTGGGCCCAACCTGGAGCAGAAGGTCCCGTCTGAAGTACCTAACCTGCAGGCCACTGAGAGTCTCACCTCCCTGGTAGGTCTCTGTCTCACCTTCTCTCTGGTAAGGTAATAACAGTTATAATAATAATAACAATGGTAATAACACTAATAATAATAATAATTATTATTATTATTATTATTATTATAATTATTATTATCATTATTATTATTATTATTAATATTATTATTATTATTATTGTTGTTATTACTAATATTATAACGGGACAGATGACGTCATCAGCAGGACAGGTCGTGACACACTGTAATAATGATGTCTCATCCCCTTTCTTAATTTTACAGCGCAAGTAATATAAATTCTCGTGACGTTGTTGTTACAGTGCCAACTGGAGTGTGGCTCTGGGAGGTGCCAAGTAGACGTCCAGGCTGGAGTGCCACGATGTATGTGCCCTCTGGGGCGAGCTGGAAGGTACTGCCACCCAGGTAGGTCATAGGGGTCACTCACTCACAGAAGACTGTGTTATAATACTTGATGCTGTTCCCTGATATAAAGAAAACAAAATTATATACTCGTATACAGTAGTTTCTGCTATTTTCTTAAACTTTTCAAGGCAAAATAATTTTTTTAATTGTAATTTGATGAAGGAGGTCATTAATTATGGTGAGTGCTTGTAACCTGACCTGAACTACAGAGCAAGGATCACACACACACACACAATAACCAACACCACCATCTGTCACCCTCACAAGTCACACATCCCAACAGTGCCTTCTCCTCCTCCCCTCACAGCTGATAAATATTGCTGGTGACTTTCATTTCGTTGTTCGTAGGTCATCTGTTAGCCTTCAGTTGGGAGGTGGGGAAGCCTTTAATGGTAAGGTGGGGAAGACTTGAGTTGGGAGATGGGGAAGCCTTAGGACCCACCCACACCTGTCCTCTCCCACAGGTTCACAGATAGAGACGGCCCGTTTCCATGGGTCGTCCTGGGTCGGGTTTGCACCGCTCCGAGAGGCATACAGGGATGTACAGCTGACACTAGAGTTCAAGCCAGAGACTGCTGACGGCGTTCTGCTGGTGTCAGGAGAGAATGATGACCTGACGGGTGACTTCATGGCCGCTGTGCTCGTTGGCAGCTATGTGGAGTTCAGGTAAAGTGTTCCTTCACCCTACCTGCTGTACCTTGGCCTATGGTGGTAGTAGCGGTAGTAGTAGTTGTTGTAGCAGTATAGTAGTAGTAGTTGTTGTAGTAATCGTAGTAGTAGTTGTTGTAGTACAGCAGTAGTAGTCGTAGTATTGATACACTGTATTAGAAGAATAGCAGTAGTAGTAATAATTATATCCCCACTAACTACCTAAATTCATATATCAGTTTTTCGAGATGTTAACGAGAATTTACAAGCTAAAGAATAAGGTAAATTTAATAGGGAGATAGAGCAAAAAAAAAATCGGTAATGTTGGGAATGTGTATTTTTGGAAGTTTTTATTTTTTCTTTATATTTCGAATTCACTATAAAAGGATGCAATTTTGATCAAACAAAGTGGGCCAAGCTTTGAAATAGAGGGAAATTGTGGGGTAAGCCACTGACAAAAATAAACTATACCTAACCTAACCTAATTATTACAGGAAAGTCAATATTTAATAACAGGTGCTAGGGTTAAAGAGTGTACAGTAGTTAGGAAACTTTTCAATAGAAGAAAAGTTTTCAGTTTATCAAGGACATCCCAAAAATGGTGGAGGAAATAAATATTTGCCAACCCCCCAAAGTAATCAAGTATTTAATCTAACGACTCAAGTGTCAGTACAATATTCATTTTTAACCTAGCCTAACCTAACCAGAGAAACCAGAAGGACCTGACCTAACCTCTATAGCCCCTTGGATCTCCGTGTGTAAACTCAACCTAACCCAACAGGACAGAACAAAAAATAAAATAACAAAAATAGAGGAACCTAAAGAACCAAGCCTGAAAATGAAATTCAGAAAAACCCGAAAAATATACAAGTTTCCGACAAAAATGGTAAACTGTATAGTAAAGTAATTATATTTTTTATGCTCTGTCTTCTCATATATACATGAACACTGTATAGAGTTCTGAACCTTAACTCATTTCTCCCTCAGCGATCACACAGCCTCTATATGACACCACTAACACTCTATGTCTAATGTTTATAAAGGTGGGATTATCTCTTGATATTTATTGTAACTCTTCTCTCCAGATGGGACTGTGGGTCAGGGGCCGGGTCAGTCAGGTCACCAGAAGAGGTTCATATGGGCGAGTGGAACCGTCTGACTGTCTACCGTCACCGCTGGGACGTGTGGCTTCAGCTCAATGATGGTCACCACATCCAGGGTCGCTCAGAGGTCAGTAGCGGGGTGGGATCTCGTGAAGATTAAGAATCCTCGATTATTTCAACTGATACAGATAGTTAAACACCCTGATGGTGAAGTGGCTGGACCTTTAGTCATTTCAAATTGAGGCTTTCTTACTTTTTTATTTGTTTTTATTTTATTGATTTTATTTTTTTTTGTAATTACCTGTATTCATTTTAACACACCCTCGAATTTTTTCACGCGATGTTTGATTTCTGATGTATTTTTATCAGATCTGACCTTCGTTTCCATGGGAAATGCATCTGTTTTTTTTTTTAAAGAAGCAAGTCATCCTTGATCAAAAATGGATATTTTCTATCAAAAACGAAGGTGAGATCTGAACAAAATACGTCCAGATACTGTACAGTACAATACATCAGAAGCCAAGTTTCTAGACCCCTAGCTTTCACTAAATTAACCTACCTTAACCTAACCTCGCCTAACCCCAGCAGGGTAGAAAACGCGGGTGGAGATTTATTGATCTAATTTCTTAGGCGTTCCTCACCTGTGCGATTTTTCTGAAAGAAAAACGTTTCCAAGAGGCTTCAAGGGTTGAGGAATGTATATATGAGGCAAAAATTGAATAAAAGTAAGTGCTTCTGTTTGATTTGAATATGTGCTTAACCGAATAATAACCAATTTTTTTAAAATTTGGGACCTAACAAATATAGTCAGCCATGAGGACAATGTAGGTAGGGTGGGAGGGCATGGGGTACAGGCAGTCCCCCACCAGGAGTTACAGGTGGAACCTTGAAACTGGTTAAGTTGTGAACTCTTGGAATAACCCGCCAGAGTGTGTTGTGACGGCACCAAGTGTGAGCTCATTTAAGGACAGACTCGACCAACATTAACACACGTTCTGGTGCATTTTAGAGCCTGTACATGTCCAGTACTTGCCATCAGTGTGTAACATAGACATGACTAACCATCCAAGTGGCTAACAGGCCTATCAGTGGTGAAGAGGATTTGGTATAGTATAATGTACACAATGGAGACATAGAGTACATTAATGAGGAACTATATGGGTAGGAGGGCCAGGGAAGGTAAACATTAAGTCACTTTGATCAAGGAGAGCCTCTTGCCCACACATGTACTGGATATTTTACACAACAGATGTTTATATTAATGTTCTTTATGTAGTGAGTTTAATGTGTGCTAACAAAATCATTGATATTCTTGTTGATATCTACATCACATACAGTATTTATTTATCTGTATTCTTTATATATTTTATTGATTTATTCTAATTCGTTAAGTCATCCCGACTCCTCATGAGGTCCTTGCTTAAATCAACTGAACTTTTTACCATCAATTGTATACCTACACTGTCTATGTATGGGGTTTGTATACCTACACTGTCTATGTATGGGGTTTGTATACCTACACTGTCTATGTATGGGGTTTGTATACCTACACTGTCTATGTATGGGGTTTGTATACCTACACTGTCTATGTATGGGGTTTGTACACCTACACTGTCTATGTATGGGGTTTGTACACCTCCACTGTCTATGTACTTTTTTGTATGTCTACACTGTCTATGTATCCTACCAAACATGGCAGGTTTTCTCTGGTACCTTACTCCAACTTTGTACTGTACTGTACTAACACTGGATAATGAAGGTCATAACAGAACAGACCAACCACCTGAATGGCAAGTAAACTGACAAGTGGTGAAAATTATAAATTGCAAATTAAAAATACTGATTAGTTTTATTCTCTATTTGTGTTTTTAATCATTACATACTTTCAGGGTTTGTTCTCCCGCATCACCTTCCGTGAGCCACTCTACGTGGGCGGCTCCAACAACCTGACGTCCCTCGCTCCAAGACTCGGGGTAACCACCGGCCTTCAAGGGTGTGTGAGGCGACTTCAGGTCAATGACCACGTCTACCGTTTTCGAAAAAGTGATCCTCTTAGGGAACCAAACTTGCCGTCAGACTACGCCGCCCTGGATGGCTGGGGCCTAAGTGAGTTGTGAGGTTGAATAAAGAAATGACAAACATTTTGATAAATTATTCACAGACAAAACTGTACACTGTGAAGTGCTTCACCAACTTAAACACAGTTTTATACAGTCATGGTTGATTAAATTGAAGTAATTTAGTGATAATTTTTATTGTATTATTTAAGTAAGATCTGTGGGCTGTTAGAATATATTATTTTCTGTGTGATTTTCCATTAACTGCCTATTAGACAGTCCTGGTAAACTGTTGAAATTAAGTTATGATGGTTATTGTCTTATCTTGACTGTATGTAAGCTGCAATAAAAGTGCCTTTTAAGGTCATTTTAAAAAGTATTCTTAACTAACATACAGTGTAACTAAATTATAAGCTGATATTTACTTGTATTTTAAGTTAATAGAGTTGACAGAGTTCATCCAAGCTGTTAGCGACTTTCCAGGTCATGAGCAAGTGTGCATTATCACTTTATTAACAGACTTCAGTACTTCTCCTTTAGTGTCCCTCAGCATATTTCTTCATCTCACCTCACAGTATACAAAAAAATATTATCACATATCCTATGTAAAAATTGAAGAAATATAATGAGTGAGAGATTTATCAGGGAGTTACAAGCTGCTTCTGTTGCACTTGACAATTCTTCAAGACATACAAATGAGTAAATTGGTTTCCATTTCTTTATACTTTGCTTCTATAAGCCATCTTCCACTGCACTGTACTGTATGGTGACAATTATGATTCTCCCTCACACTGTTCCTCCCCCCCTCAAGCTGCCTCACACTGTTACTCCCTCCCTCAAGCTGCCTCAAACTGTTACTCCCTCCCTCAAGCTGCCTCACACTGTTACTCCCTCCCTCAAGCTGCCTCACACTGTTACTCCCTCAAGCTGCCTCACACTGTTACTCCCTCCCTCAAGCTGCCTCACACTGTTACTCCCACCCCCAAACTGCCTCAAACTGTTCCTCCCTCAAGCTGCCTCACTGTTCCTCCGTCAAGCTGCCTCACCACATATGTCCTGCTGTAATGTTCTCACATAACACTGTCCTATATTTTCCTCCTCTCATGTTTTAAAGTCTTATAAGAATTTCACACCAAGTAAGCTCGTAAATACGTATACAGTATAATGTAGGTAATCAAGGTTTATATTAAGGACACTTTCACTAAACATTCTTTACCATATTGCTTTTAAGAACATAACTGATCCTTCTGTTATTATTATAGTTTATTATTTAATGCATAACTGAATCCTTCCTTACCAATCAGCTGAGTGTATTGGTGATGCATGTAGTGAGGTAGAGTGTCAGCATGGAGGGAAGTGTGTGGCCTCTACCCAAGACACCAAGAACCTCTCAGCGGTGACTACAACCCCAACTCCTCCCCCGTTCTTTGCCCCGCCACCACCTGTCCCCGTCTGCCTCTGTCCATTAGGCTATGCTGGAGACTTCTGTGAAAAGCAACTCAACCTTGAGGTAAGTTATTGGTGAAAATTTTGCTAATAATTTTTTAAAACATGGAAACAAAAAATTAAACTTGTGAAACTTGAGGATCTTGGAATATATTTTAGTTAAGTTAGTTGTGGTTGTAAATGGGAATAGATATGATAGGGTTTACTTGTTTTGATTTTTTTTTTTTTTTCATTTTATCATCAGGTTCCTTCCTTTAATGGGTCGTCACACCTTATGTTCCCTGCACTGGGAGGTTCTGTGTTGTCATGGCTGGAGCTGGAGTTGGTGTTCCGTGCAGCGTCAACTGATGGAGTCCTCCTGTACGAGAGCCACCGGTCTGATGGCACGGGGGACTTCATAGCCCTCACGCTGTCCCAGGCTCATGTCCTCTTTACCATTGATCTTGGTTCTGGTATTTTGACTCTCAGGTAAGTGAGAACCAGACAAACTTTTTAATCTTATTACCTCAAGACTGTGTGAAAATTGGCATCGTTTTGAGTTTATAAGTACTGTTGTCCACTTAATGTTTAACTTATCTCAATCTCATCAAAATGTCTCATTCAGGTCAGTGTACCCAATCCGTCCCGGTATCTGGCACTCGGCACGAGTGTCACGAACAGGTCGCTGGGCATGGCTGTATGTGGACGACCAACCTGTAGTGAGTGGACTGACTCCTGGTGGCTTCACCATGTTGTCTCTCTCTCATCCACTCTACCTCGGAGGTATCCCGCCCACATCCACCTCACAGCCCATCCTGCCAGCATCACAGTCATTTACTGGCTGTATACAGAAGGTCAGATCATTATGTTTGGTGATATTATTTGTTCAAGTTCTATTTTATTTTGACTGTTATAACCCAAAGTCATTCAGCATCATATAAGAATCAGAGTACAGTACAGTACCATACAGTATTACATAAAATTAGATATGCAACAACTCTCAAAAAAAGCAAATGTTCAGCTCTTTGATTACTGCACACCCAAAGGAGGCAACAGTTATAGACCATCAGTACCAGAGCCAAGTACTGTACAGTATTTCACTAACATGTTGTTGTGTCCGTCACAGTTAGCGCTCAATGGTCGACCAATTCACCTGGTCTCCGGGGCCGTCTCAGGAAGCAACGTAGATTCCTGCAGTCACCCGTGCTCTCAGCGTCCCTGTGACAATGGAGGCATCTGTGAGCCTCACGGACCAACGTACACCTGCCGCTGTCCTCTTGGCTTCAAGGACGAGCATTGCAGGAGTCGAGTAGTGACGCAAGCTGCAACTCCAAGCTTCAGTGGGCGGTCATTCCTCAAGTATGCTGACACAGAGATCATGAAACGGTGAGTACCAGTATGAAATCCTAGGACGATCTATGATTCACTTTTACTGTCTTATGCAACTGTCACTTCACAAAGACTATAATAACTTTAGGTATTTTTGAAAGAGGAAATTGTAAACTGTTCCTGACAATGTCTGTGTACTGTACATACTATTGTTGTGAGATTGTTATACGGTATTTGTACTTTAGTTTTTGTCCATCAATGCACAGTCTAACAAATTTTTATTTTATCCATTACTTGTGCTTCAGTGTCTCCAGATGAATTTATTCCTTTTTAAACAATGTAAACTTTACTCTCATCCTTTTTCAACACATATTTCTATCATTCTCTTTATTTTCATTCATTGAGGAAAGCTAAAGCAAATACTGTCTTTTTCAGAGTGTCTGGTGATAAGCTACACCTGTGGCTGCGGTTCCGAGCCTTGACCCCAGATGGCCTCCTGGTGTGGGCCGGGGAGGAGGACGATGGTGGCGACAACAGGGACATCCTCGGGCCACCTCTGGGAGACTCGCTCAGCCTGGAGTTACAAAATGGACGCCTCATACTCCGCTACAACTTGGGGTCAGGGTTTGCCCAGTTGATTTATAACAGTAGTGGTCGTCTGGATGATGGCCAGTGGCACACAGTCAGGATCTACAGGTCAGTACAGGTTGTGTGTGATCTATAAAGGATGATGGTAGAGAGACACAGACAGAACGATAAACAGATAGATACAGATAGACACACACACACACACACACACACACATACAGAGGAGAGACAGACAGAGAGGAGAGAGAGATATTGATTGAGATCTTTTGCAAATGGTGAAGAGTATTATCAGTGTTTGGTTTGGAGGATAGAGGAGCTTAAGTTTGGAGGAATGAAGAAGAGGGAAGGCTTGCAGGGCAGGAGTCAGAATGTTTGGAGAATAAAGGGAGAGAAAGTTTGGAGGGTAAGGGAGAGAATTTAAATGTGTAAAGAGTCTGAAACAATATGACGCAACAGACGAAGAATTTTGACTAACCTACCAAGACAGGAGTAGTGGTATTCATTTTGAGTTTCATCAGACCTCTCTGTTAAGATACTATTTGGAGTGAGTGCACACCTATATTTACAACATCAATAATTCACTAAACATTAATATGAAGGTTTAGAAGTTTATTCAGTATAGCAAGAAAATTATATTAATTTACCATTACTATATAACTTACACAGCACCATGATATAAGAGTAAATAATCTTGTCTCACAGGTACGAGAGGGAAGGACGCTTGTCTGTGGATGATGGAGAGGAGAGTGTGGTTGTGTCGCCTGGGGACTTGGTGCAGCTAAACGTTGACACCTCCCTATATATTGGTAAGCTTAATGTAGTGTTGTGGTAAGAGGATGTTCGTTTCATCAACTAAAATTATTTACATTATTATAATATGTTATTATGCTCCTAAAATTGAAGAGAATGTTATGTAATGCTGTTCCACTTTGCATTTATATCACACTGTATGCATGTGTGTGTGAGTGTTGGGGGAGGACAGGCAGGAGTGAAGGAATCATATAATCATTGTTTAGAATTGTTGTTAGCCTCAAGCACATGTCACTTAAACTGTGTATCTCTTATAGATAATTAGTTGTGATGAGTTGTATCTGTCTCATCACTTTAGTGTACAGCATCTTATGAACAACATGAATTCAGTATAGTACAGCATAAGCTAACGTATACCTCTTGCCAACATGTAAAGGGTTGGAGTCCTGTTTGGTCCAGACACACGTGAGAAGGGTGTTATCCAGTGTGACCCTCACTACCAAACATCACAGCCTTTCCGGATTCCAGTTTCCTCTTGTACTAACACTAGATAGACCAACCACCCGAACGGCTAGTAAGCTGATGATGATGAAATGATAATAATTACTCGTATTATCTTCCCCAGGTGGGCGGGAAACTTTCCATGGACCTCATAATGAGTACAGGTCCCCTGGACTGACTGGCTGTGTGGCTGACCTGACCCTGGCAACAGACTACCATGTTGACCTCATAACTCAGGCAACAGCAGGGCAGAACATCGACTACTGCTGACCGGACAGTGGGTAGGACGGATGGGAGGAAGGGTAGAGAAAGATGAAAGACAAAGCGGATTATTGAAGAAATGATTTTATGATGAGATAAAGGAAGAAATTAAAGAGAACATTTTACCAATGAAAACCATTTCCTCTTATTGTATATGTCAAGAGTTAGAGCAAAGGAATGTATTTAGTTCTGAGATGTTGCTGATGTAGGTTTCAAGGCCATTGTGTGTTAAGTTACATCTTTAGATAATATGTTACCACTAGCTGAATATATCACAAGACGCAGGTTATATTAAGCTAGAAAAATCACTGTAAACTACAAAGATTATTAAATGAGAAAAAATAAGGATTAATTACTTGAGTCAGAGGTGATAGATGCAAGTCACCACCATTTAGTTTTAATGATATGGATTAAAGTGCCGTAGAAATTTAGTTGTTTACAGAGATTTCACGTAAATATTGAATGAGATGCATGAGTGTTGATGAAACTTAACCACCACCTCAGTAGTTAAGAATACCTTATATAGAGTGAATGCAAAATATCACCTTTATTCCTTATCCCACCTAAGGTTCATAATCACTCATCACATTCAAGACAAAAAAAAAAAGATAATCTGTTGTACAGATTTGTTGAGAATGATTAGGCAGTGTGCTGACCTGAAGCATCTTAGAAGTGATTCATTCCTTTCATTATGTAGTGTGTGTGTGTGTGTGTGTGTGCATGTGTGTGCGTACGTGAAGGAGGGTGGCCGTACCTGTATGTTCTGCACACGTCAACATTGTGTTTACTTTGGTTATATGTAGAATCACCATCATAAAGGATAAGTGATGACTATGTGACCAAGTTGTCCATTATGAATACCACACTCATGTAAGCTTTTTTCATATGTAGCTCCACACAGTCACAGTGAAGATGTATAGTGTGTGTGAGGCTATGTATAAATGTATGTATGTATATGTCTGTAAAACTCATAATATACAGATAACTCTAAATTAGGGTGATGTTGTTCACTATTATGCTGATATTCAAGGTGTTTCTTTAACAATGGAGATGGCCTAATTTAAATCTCTCAGGGGTTTCGACTTGAACTGGTCATCAGTCACATCAACAGATAACTGAGCCAGCTCACATTGTTCCTCCAACAAAAACTTAATTTCTTTGGCAATAGAAAGAACCAGTGACTCGACCTTAGTTATTATATAAAACATATCTGTAAACAGTGATATCTCCATTAGCCAGAACAATTGGTGTACGGCACTCCCGGGAACGAGAGATTTCCAGGTAATGAGACGACTCTCTCAAAGCCGGAAAAAATCCCTCATCACTGGAATTTTCCCAAATTTTCTGGGTAACGGAAAAATATTCTCGAAAGTTCCAGAAATTGTGCGTTACATTGTCTCTCGAACCCAGAAACATATCCCCCATCCCCTGAATTTTCCAGTTACCGGGAAAATTTTCTCAGAATTTTCCAGAAAATGTGCCCTTTGGAAAGTCGTTCCCAAAGCCGGATTATCCATAATATTCTGGCTTTGGGAACAATTTTCCAAGAAAATTTCAGTTTCGGCTATCAGAGAGTTCCGGGTTTGAGGGATTCCAGCTAACGGAGATATTACTATTAATTTTCATCGTGCCGAGTTGCTGCAGTTAAGACTTTTTGGTTAATGACTTGCAGTATACTACATAAGTTAGGTGTCATCATGTCCCCCAGTTGGTCGTCTCTCTTAACTTTGTAGCGAAAACCCTGGTCTCCATTGAGCTGCTTGTGAGTATAAAATCATAATTGAGTTTGTTCATTTTTTTTATATGTCTGCCATGACTGTGTGTATGGCTGTCATGGCTGTGTATATATACCTGCCATGGCTGTGTATATACAGTATACCTACCATGGCTGTGTGTATGGCTGTCATGGCTGTGTATATATACCTGCCATGGCTGTGTATACCTACCATGGCTTTGTGTATGGCTATGTATATATACCTACCATGGCTTTGTGTATGGCTATGTATATATACCTACCATGGCTGTGTGTATGGTTGCCATGGCAGTGTGTATGACTGATTATGTACATGCAGTGCTTGACTCCACCAGTTGAAGAAGAAATAGTCCATGCCATTTGTTGTATAAGTGATAATGTTTCAGTGAAAGCTATAAACCTACATATAATTTCAAGTATTATTCATGTTACCTAAATCATTACAAATGTTTTTATTTGTGTACATAATGAATTTATAGCACCTTTCATAATGGCTTAACTGAATGTAAGTGTTCATTTTGGGATATGTATTTCAGTTTGTGTTCCATCTGTTCATTATAGTTTTGCCAGAATATTGTGAATCAGCTGAACAGTCATTATCGTGTGTTCATTTTTTGTACCACAGTGATGACAGATATGAGTAGCCTCCTCCAAGTTGCTGAAACCCATAGCTTAAACGGTCGATGCTGTACTCAGTGATGTATATTTGGTCTTGTCGTATGTGTATGTCGTATACCTGTACTAATATTGATGACGGTAAGTTCAACTGTTGTCCTTGAAAACTACGATAAACTAAGATACGGAGAGTTAAAGTTTAAGCTATTCTGTTTTGAGTAACAGTGACTGATTGTGAGGTAACTTATAACACTGAAACTAATAATTATAATTTCCCACAACTTTAAAACTACTAGAGTTAAATAACCAATGATGGTTATGGCATTAATAGCAGTTGATAATAATACTCATCCTTCACAAAGACAGCATTAGTGACAGCATTATTTAAGATATAAATTAATTCTTGTAAGATGTAAGTTGGGGCTCAAGCAGCTCCTACAATATTTGTTACCAAGACCCAAGATGTGTGACAGGACTCGGCAGCAGTAATACTGTACGTGGCTTGGAGGAGGTGTACCACGGCCCTGAGTGTGGATACAACACTATGGTTTTATCATTAGAATTAAGGAAACAATTTGCCTTTGATTTGATAAAAGTGTGTGTACTATTATCATATGGTTATACAAGTTACTAATTTCATAACTATGTAAGCTTTACTTCAAAACCTTAACAGAAATTGGCAGTCAGTACACACTGTAATATGATCCTATAGGCATATTCTACATATCATTTTGTAATGTAATAATAGTAAGTTAATCAAGAAGATAGTGCCTACATATTTGTGTTACTTAAGTCATTCTCAGAATGAGCGTTCTTAGTATCATCTAGTCAATGTATGTTCATGTAAACCAGTCAAGAGCTTACACACCACCGACCAGAGGATGGGAGGGTATGATACTAGCATTATGATCCTGGGCAACTAAAGCATTACTACAGATAACATTGTTCCATTGGATGTGTATAGAGTGTTACCAAGTTATGGTCCTAATGTACTAGATAGTTTTTCAAATTCATATTCATTCATGAGCTAAATGTAATGGTACCTGTGTAAATATAATTTACAGTATCCAGTAGTCCTCAGTCGATATGGTATAAATTCCTACCTTAATCCTTTTACAGATAAGATGAGTCCATGTTGCTATTATATATATTCCAGTTTACATTCTCCAAAACCAATTATATACATATACTATATCAGAATTATACATATTCTATGAGTTTTCTCATGCCAGTATTGACCCCCAAAAAAGAATAAAGTTTTTATGAATACTATATATATATTTCAAAATGTATATACATGTCTATTACCAGAGACCCAGTACAGTACAGTACTTTGATGCTTTATGACTCAGTACTGCCACTTATAAATGTGTCACTATTAATTTATTAATATTATGGTCAGTTTCTGGCATCAGTAAATTTTAGCCATTAAAAAATACTTTCTCAGATAATGATAAAATTTGTGTCGTCGTCAACGCTGCATAATCAAGATTGGGGTCAGCTGCAACTTGGATCATCCGGGTATCAGTGAAGTACCAGATACATACCGGGGCAGATGGATTATCATACCCTTTCTATTTTGGATAACATGCAAGAACAAAGGTCACAGCCTAACACTAGTAATTTGAGCCTGCTGTGTGGTACTGTTGTAATCAATTGAATATTCATCATCAGAGGAGGAGTCATAAATGTATTGGGTTCAGATGCCCATTTGCTGATATCAAAGACACTTCTGTTAGCATGTGAATATTTAGGTACAGGTGTGGGGTCCCTTGTATGGTGTTACCCCATTCCAGAAAGACCCAAACACTGTGAAGGTAACTGAACAGTGAATAAAATAATGTACATTAAAGTTAACTGGAAGAGTAACTTAACCTTTGATATAAAGCAAAATAAATCCTCATTACATTTAGGTAAAGTTCTGGATCTGAAAACCTCATACTGTGGAAAAACTAAATCAGTCTCCAATTTGATTTAACCTAACATTTTCACCTGCAGTTTTCAAAGATTATGATAACTGTGTAGGAAAAATTGTTTAAAATAATTTCTGGGACTAAACTGTAACATTATGGTGTCTGTACAGTATGGTAAGTAATGTAATCCATATTTAAGTATTATCCACATTTTAAAAGAAATAAGTAATTTTGTAAGATCTGTAGGTCCCCAGAACACCTTATTAATTTGCCACACTGCAGGTAAGAATGTGTAATGTGGCATATTAATAAGTCTCAAGAGATGTGAAGTGGTTGCACACTATTGTTATATTACATTGATTATATTCACAGAATTTATCATGTATATCAAGAACTTTACTAAAACTCATTATAATTAAATGGTTTTGAACTGTTGCCACCACAGGGTCAAGATTCCAGCACTTGGTGTGACCTCTAGGACTCAGAAGCATCAACACAGTTCATGTACAGCAACTAAGGAGTAAATCTTGTGCCATTTTACACTTGTGTTTTTTTTTTTATACCTTGAAACTTTGTGAATACTGTACCTAGATGGTCCGACCCTCATGAGGCTCTTCACTGGTGTGTTCTCCCCACTTGGAGTACTGTACCATCTTCCTGTTTGGTCCATGGAATATACTTAAGACTGCCAGCTGATGGAGAATGTCCAAAAAGAGGGCATTTAATATACCAAGAGATGTTAGAACACCTTCAACTGCCTACAGAAGTTTATACTATAGACAGGCAAGTGGTGATTTAATGTAAGTTTATAAGCACCTCAAAGGACATTCTACAGTAAGGTAGCAGGCAACTGTCAAACAGGGAGATACTACTGCATGGGAAGATATTGGAAGCATAATGTGTTGTCCACTGGGAGACAGTGCTGCCATATGGCATCACAAAAATTGTGACCAAGTCCCAGGTTTCTGATGTGACTGACTTTCTGCCTCATTTACACACTGTAGTGGACGTCTCCCCTACAACTGCTTACAACTGCGTAGCCACAGCCACCACCTGTTACCGCATTCCGACGCGCTGGCGTCTCCTAGCAACCAAGCGAGAGCTGAAACCAGATGTTACCGTTGCTTAGCAACGAAACTAGTCACCGGCAACTTTCTGGGTTTTCCCAACATGATTCATAGAGGACTGGCGGCTGCTGCTGGGTATATAAGCTCTGTCTCTCCATTGAGATTCATTCTGCCCATCTTCCTGAACAAGCAACACCTCCTCCAGCAAGCTCCACGCTGTTAACATTTATTTCAACCAGGAGGCCAGCAACAGGCAACATCTTCTCTAACGAAGCTCCTGCACATCTACCTCCTTCAACACGCTACTCACCGAACGTCTTCTACTGAGCAGCTCCCCACCACACGGCATCTCCAGCACCAGACTGTCTATCATATAACTTAAATATTATACAAGAAAACCACATTAGAGTTTCCTTCCATCCTGAGTGCTAGACAACATTGATATCTCGATACCCCTACAATGGTGACTCCCGGAGATTAGCACTCACACAGGATGGAGGAGACACTGATCACGCTCCCAGTCTTCAAGCAGACACCGGCTCCTCTTCCTGCCCCACGCACCACATCCTGACGACCCCAGGACACCCGTCATGCCTCAGACGCCGACCCCGGCCCAGCAATAACCCCTGACGCGGCCTCTCTTCCTGAATCCCGACCCACACACCCCTCTTTTCTCCCTCAGGTACTCCCTGCTAATGTCCTGCACCCTGCTGCTGTCGTGGACCCAGCTGCTGTCACGAGCCCTAATCCGCTTCTGCTGACGCAGCCCCTGCTCCTGACCCAGGCCCACACACACCCCAGCAGGCGCATCTGACGACCCTGTACCTGTCATGAGGGAAGCACACCAATCATCGCCTCCACACACCCTTTTTCTCCCTTCTCCCACAGATAGTGTGTATCTAGACAGTTGTATTTCAGCGATCGGCTCATCACGCCATCGCCGTTGTCTCACATGAGGCATGCACCGCCCGGTCTGCCTCACATGTGCTAAGCAACTCTACAAACAACAAGTCTCCTACACCGCCTGGAGGGAAGAGGGAGTATTGTAGTGGACGTCTCCCCTACAACTGCCTACAACTGCGTAGCCACAGCCACCAGCTGCTACCGTCTTCCCTAGCAACCAAGCGTATCCGCATTCCAATGCCGCCGTATCCTAGCAACCGAGCCAAAAGACCGGCGACTTCTCGGGTTTTCCCAACATGACTCATGGCGGCTGCTGGGTATATAAGCTCTGTCTCTCCATTGAGATTCATTCTGACCATTCTTCTTGAATTAGCAACACCCCCTCCTCCGCCGCTGCCTGGCTGCCTTAGCTCCTCCTCGCCTGCCTGGCGGTCCTCGCTCCTGCCAGCGAGCATGGCGACCCACCAGCTGTCCTTCTCTGAGCTTCCTCACCAACCAACTCTCATTCTGGCCCATCTTCCTGAACACGCAACACCTCCTCCCAGCAAGCTCCTAGCTGTCCAGCATTCATTCAACCAGGAGGCCAGCAACAGGCAACATCTTCTCTAACGAAGCTCCTGCATATCTACCTCCTTCAACACGCTACTCACCGAACGTCTTCTACTGAGCAGCTCCCCACCACACGGCATCTCCAGCACCAGACTGTCTATCATATAACTTATATATTATACAAGAAAACCACATTAGAGTTTCCTTCCATCCTGAGTGCTAGACAACATTAATATCTCGATACCCCTACAACACAATTGCATGGCCCCAATTGTGTCTCTTACTTTGACAACATATACATATTTTTATCTCGCTCTTGAGCTGTTTTATTTGTTCCTTTTTTCCATATACCGTATTTATTGTCTAATTTATTTTTCTTTGTTTTTTTTCCCCACCCAGGACCTGATGTGGGTCAGTGACTTGTACACTACTCAGGTAATTAAGGAAATCATAATGTCCTTAGACTGGTACAGTACATATGATACTTTTAGTACAATATTATATATTATATATTTCTTTTATACATTCACATAATGTTTCATTAAACCTTTTTTCTTTAACAGTAATATCCCATTACATCTAGGTTGGCATATTTTTTATGTATTGTATTTAGGAAATTAGTATTAATTATTTGCATATGCAAAACATGAATATACGTAACAATACAGTGTATGGTTATAAAAATATCGATAATGTCATTATCCTCAAGAATCAGCTCGTCCTGCTAGCTAGATAGTACAGCATTACCTATACAAGTATACATACTGTATATACATGCTGAATCATTTGTAAACTTGTATGACAATTTTACTGCACACACAGTATATATATATATATATATATATATATATATATATATATATATATATATATATATATATATATATATATATATATATATATTTCATGTAAATCCACAATGAAAACGTGGATAAGATAAATCTTGATAAAATCACGCGGGAAAATGGAAACAACGGAGCACCTTAGCTCCGTGTGATTTTATCAAGATATATATATATATATATATATATATATATATATATATATATATATATATATAATCTGAAAAGAAGAAAACACGAAGTTCCCAAGCGCTTTCGTGTCACCCCGCCTGGTCCCCGAGATATGCTAGGGACTGTCAGTTGGTTGAAAATGTTCAAAGGAGGGCCACCAGACTGGTGCCTGCACTTCGGCATCTCAGCTTCCCTGAGAGATAAGAGCGCCTGAACTTGCCTAGCTTATACTACAGACGAGCAAGGGGTGACCTAGTTGAGGTGTATAAGCATCTCGGGGCACTACTCAGTTGAGTGTCCTTACTTGGAGCTGGCAGACGCTCGCCCCACAAGGGGTCACAGCTCAAGATTGAAGAAGCCGCAAGTCCAGAAAACCGTGAGGGCAAACTTTTTCGGAGTGAGGGTTGTAAACTCTTGGAATAATCTACCAGAGAGTGTTGTGACGGCACCGAGTGTGAGCTCTTTCAAGACAAGACTTGACCAACACTGGAGCAGGTTCAGGTACATTCAGGAGCCGGTGCATGCCCAGTACTTGCCAACAGTGCGTGACAGAGACGTGACCAATCGCCCGGACGGCTAACGGGCCGATCAGGGAAGAGGATAAAAGTAAAAGTAAAAAAATTCACATCTTCAGGGGTGAGTACAAACTAAAGAGAGAAATACAAATCAAGGTGTATATATACAGAGGAGGGTGAGACCAGGTCCACAATGGTCAGGTATTAGGTAATGACCCTACTAATCTTTAAAAAGCACCTAATACCTGACCATTGTGGACCTGGTCTCACCCATCTCTGTATATATACACCTTGATTTGTATTTCTCTCTCTAGTCTGTACTCATCCCTGAAGATGTGAATTACACGAAAGCGCTTGAGAACTTAGTGTTTTCTTCTTTCCTTGTGGTTATCATCATATACCTAGATCACGCGCACCTACAGTGATTTACTTGCATATATATAAATATATGGACGTCATGGACACCCAACGATATGGTAAGTTTTGATTTTCTCCGTAAATGTACTATGCTTCCCTCAGCTTCTTGAACTTCCCGGATGTTCTGATAACATCTCCCCCCATCTCATCAATAGGATTTCCTTTCTCCAAGCACGACAAACATTAAAATATAACACCAAATTCTTTGTTCAGGCGAATATTTGGAAACAAATATTTTCGGAATCACATAGTTTGGATACCCACACCTGTTTCACCTAATGATGAAACATATTCATATACAGTACAGTAGTTGTATCGACTGATGATAAGATAACGATAACCTCACTGGGGAAACAATGGAAATGTATGATGTAACACTCTATGACCATTTTATTCAGATTTTTTCTGTTATATTTAACTGAAGTTATGCACTACATTAATTTAAATTGAAAATTAAATTCAAGCGTTATGGCCGTGTGGTCATGGAAGTTATGGAATAAAATGTTCCGCCATTTAGGAATAATTGATTAATTGAGACAAGTAAAAAAAATACCAGAGAGGTGTAATGTGTAAAATGAAAAATTGGAGTAATATCTACAGTATACTGTATATAAAACACACACACAAGACTTGAACCCTAATCCTAAAGAAGGTTTAGTGACAAAAGAGAATCGAGAAGTGTAAATAGCATTAGAGGCCACTAGGGAGTAATGTTATCTATACTCCACTTGTAGTGTTTGTTTACAGTGGTGAAGCTGAGTGAGGATGTGACAGCTGAGGGATGGTGTCTTATTATTGGCCAAAATGGATAAACTAACGATAATATCCGGGGCTCTGTTCCTTGCAGCAGACATTTTCGCTGTGGTGAGCCTCGCCATGCCTGACTGGATCGTGTCTGACATAGGAGGTGAGGAGATCTTGGTAGTCTATTGTGTCGTGTTATTTGAACTTATTTTATTTCATTTATTATGAATTTATCACGTGTACGGTAAAGACTAGTCCTGCATTTTGATTTTCAAAGTTATTTCTAGATGTCTAAATTATTTCAGTTATCCTGACACAACAATATTTTCAGTTTACAAGACCCATTACAGTACAGTACATGCTCTTGAAGGTTATTCTAGCAAATAAGTTTAGCTTATATATATATATATATATATATATATATATATATATATATATATATATATATATATATATATATATATATATATATTTTGTATACTGTCATACATCCGCATTTCTGCTCTTTTTTTTATGTTAGGGTATTTGGTACCGGGTACATCAAGACCAAATTTGACCAACACTGGCATCGGTACAGATACATTCTGGAGCCAGTACAGTACTTGCCCACGGTGCATAACAGAGATGTGACCTCCTGCCCAAGCGGTTAACACGCCGACCAGTGGTGAAGACGATGAAGTAAAGTCAGATAATTATTCCCATCATATCTGAACTTTTACTTTTACCCTCTTCACCACTGATCGGCTTTTTTAGCCGCTTGGGCGGTCTGTCACGTCTCTGTTATGCACTTTTGGCAAGTACTGGGTATGCACTGGCTCCTGAATGTATCTGAACCTGCTCCAGTGCTTGTCAAGTCTGGTATTGAAAACCATTAAGTTCACCAAGATGTTGAACTGAATAAGACAATTTGGCAAATATAGTATAATGAAAACTCAAAGTCCTTGACCGAGCAATGAGACATTATTTTTGTAGAGGAATTTTATGCTCTTGCACTAGCAAACTGTTTCTTGTGGAAATGGTTTGTTTGTTTTTGAGTCATGGCCTATTTCTCCACCTTTAGTATTAATACCCCATAAAGATTAATGTCATATGAATATGAGGAGAAATTTGTAATTAAAAAATGTATAACATGGTACTGTATTCTAAAGGTTAGATTAAGTTTTTAGGCTAGGTTAGGCTTGGTCAGGCTAGATTGGGTTGGGTTAGGGTTGGTTAAGTTGGGTTTGGCCAAGCTAGGTTAGGTTAGACTACATTTTGTCACTGCTGCAATTTGCCGAGACCAGTAAAAAGATTCACTTTTACCCTAAAAATGGATATAATGTAAAATACTGTACTATAGTTTACTTGTTTTAACCACAGATTTTCCCTAGTTTTGAAAGCCCAGTCTAATTTATGAGGTATTAATACTGAAGTAGGAGAAATGGACCGTAACTAGCACAAACAGTTATCACCCCAATGAAACCTAAGCTTCAGGAGATCATCATCATCTTATTTCTTTGCCATTTTTTGACTGAGGTTTCGATATTATATTAGTTACGTACAACCATCTCATTCGGGGATTTTGACATTTACAATCTATAGATTTAATAATTCTATGACTCTTTTCTTCAAAACATTTACCTTGTAAATGTCAAATAACGGAGATATTGGATGTGTTTTATTCTCTTGTTACTATCATACGGGAACACCTGTTACCTGCTCACACTGTTTACAACCAACCCACTATCCGAGCATACTCACGTCCACAGAAAACATAAAATTACACCATGACGCTTCAACAAAGTTGCTTTTATTGGTACCAGATATTAAAGTAAGTACTTTCTCTTTAATATGGCAGAGGGTTAGCCCCCCGTCTAGGAAGTTAGGTAAGGTTAGGTAGGTTTCTTTGGTTGGTTAGGTCAGGTTATATTAGGTTCATTATTATTCACTTGCGATGCAAGTGTAGAGAATGAAAGTTAATCAAAATGATGAGATGTATCTATTGCATGTGTTACAAATCCCAGATTCTATGGTTGTACGAAACTAAAGGTTTACCACTGTGCAGTACTTGTTATGGCTTACTATTTAAAATGTAAATCTGGTGGAGAATTAAGGGAAAAACAAAGTGGGCTACTGAAATTTTTTTTTTATTCTCCTAAGAAATGGTCACAGTCACATCAACAATACAGTACAGAGCCTGTGGAGCTAACTAAAGCAAACCTAAATTGAGATATGAAATAGAATTTGGATTCTGCTGCAACCCCTAATTTTTAAGGGCATATACAATACAGTATATAAATTAGAAAAATAGGGACCTTTCTTGTGTTTACAAACTTTTTCATGTGGGAACCGTAACATCAATAAAAAATAAATAATGACATGTTTTGTGAATCATGGAAGATAAATAAAGTACATAGAAATAATGTATGTTTTGAAGATTATAGGTAATGGTCAGAATGTTTTAGTGATGTGATTATTATTGCAGGTGACACCCGCCTTGGGCTACTGTGGACATGTGAGACCCTCTACAACAGGTCTCAGGTAAAGTAGTGCACCAAATATGTATCAAATGGATATTTTTGAAGGTTATAGGCTTAAAAGAAAAATTCCAGTAATGAGATGAAAAAAAAAATGGTAGGTAGGTTGGATTTCCCTCACCAGAGTCACCACCACCATTATGGGTCCAGATAGGTTGACATTCATGTATTTTCCTGTGTTAATATAGTTATCTTATTTTACATGACCTGAGGATAGATCATTAAAACAAAGTTCTTTTTGGAAAGATAAAGATGTGTTTGAAATATAAAATTAGCAGTAAAGTATTAGGATCAGCTGCAATTTTTAGATACTGTACTGTAGAGTATAAATGTGGAGGGGAGAAGAGCTAGGACCAGGTCAACAATGACATGGGGAGAGGTTGTAAGAAGTGACATTAGAGTTAAGAACCTGATGAGAGAAGCTGCAAGATACTACAGTGTAAAAACCTGTTTTCTGGCTGCCCTCCATTTCAGAGCAGGTGTACTGTTTATTGCTTTAATATGAAACAATACTGTATACTCATATATTGCTAACTAGAATAACTGGGGTTTGATAATTTCTGAATCGTCTCTTCACGGCAGGTATGCTATGCTCCGTCTTTGGGAGGAGCATGGCTGGTGACACTTGGTTGTGTATTACTGGGCTGTGTGTGTGTCACAGCCACCATTGTACTCCTAGCACTCTCACATTGTCGCCTCAGTGTGCACGTCATGACATACGCCCGCTGGGTTGGCTTTACAGCTAGTAAGTACTACCCTACTTTTGTTAATTAATTATTTTTGGGGACGAGTTAATGCTCAAAAACTTTTGTGTTATCCACAATATCTTGTGTCATTATTGCCATCATGGGTTTTGTGCACATATCTGTATTATTATTTTTTCTTCTGGTACTGTATTGTAAAGGTAATTACAGTACTTGTTTGTTCATTGTGTGGATGTCATAAGCCACAGTGGCAATGTTAGTGATAGATGGGAATGAACCTCCCCCCCCCCCTCACTCTTTGTACCCCGCCATTAGTATTTGTCCTAATTTTCTAGTACTGTACTGTACTGTACTTTACATAAGCTGCACAAATACACTTCTTTTACTTATTGATATACTGTACTACACCGTACTTTTTTCTCCATTTATTGTATATTGAAGCACAAGTTTGTCCAAATTTTTTAAAATTAGATTAGATCAACAGTTTCATGTTTTCTGTGGTATAAAATAATTTCTTTAATGTTTTGTATTTGGTATTTATGAAGCAATGTATTCTCAGTGGTGCTGTTCTGCCTGGCTGCAGTTGTGTTTCCAATGGGCTTTTACGTAGAGGAGATTGGTGGTGAACCATATCAGCTGCCAAATAGCTTCCAGGTATGTCAAGCTTAGTAACTGGTAGACAGTATTCAAATTAATGGGAAAGGTTAAATTACACAGTAGTGAATGGCTATACTGTACATCATAAAATGTAGGTTTAATGAGGTATCCAGCACAATGGGGATAAAGGAGACAGAACTAGACCTGACTTGATCTAACGATATGTCATAAATTGGCTTGTACGTACACCAGCACTATGACTGTTTTGTTTCTTCCTTTGTTCTTGCACTGCAGTAATGTACATTTTATCCATGTCTCTCAGTTGTATCAAATATTTATAAAATTGGGAGATTTCACTAGTGATGTCAATGGTATAGCAAGAACATGACTGTAAGGTGCTGCTTAGCAGGGCATGTTCAACTTATAGGTTTATTTCATTATCTACAAGTTTAGCATTACCTGTGATATCTCATTGGCTGTTTCAGCAAAACTGTGTTGAAGACATTTTCAGTTTTCTGGAAGACACCTCTAGTTTTTCTGGTGAATTAATTGTAGATAATGTAGTAAATAAAAGTAATACTTAGATAACATTTCTTTATAGAAATGCAAAACAAAATGTCTCCCGGCTGGTACCCATAAGACCATTTGCTTAGTGCTCATACAATCTCACTTGGGCTATTCTTGCTCATCATAGTTACTCTGTCTTAACACAGATTCTAAAAGCCAAGCTACAATGTATTCAAAACAAGATTGTTAGGTTTATTATTCACATTAATGTAAGAGATCACATTAGTCACAAAATCCTGCAGTCACTGGACTTCCTAAATATAACAAGTAGAGTGAAGCAGTTGAGGCTGAATCACACTTTTAGGATTTTCAACAGACTGTGCCCAAAGTACAGAATCAGAGATATGAACCTGTAGGGTAGGGCGCTTGAGGAAATGAACACAGTTTTATGGTACCCAGTATCTGCTGTCAAGCAAAAAGCACTTTCTTCTTTACACATATGTCTTGCAAACACATTTATTAGTTTAATTTTTGGGGGCTGGACAATGGAGTGGAGTCTTTAGAATGAGTGACCGAAAATTTCCGCTCTCTCTCTCCTAATGCTCTTGAGTGCATGTGTGTTTTGGTTGGAGAGTGAAGTGTTAGAGCGACTGTTCAGGTATTTGGATATCTGTTGTGTGCTATATAAGTTACAGATGATTTAGTAACTAACCATATTTTGTTTTTCCAGGTCGGATACTCGTACATATTCTTCGTCCTGGCACTGTGGATGACAGTAGTGTCGGAGCTGTTTGCTGGAAAGGTTTGCCTGCCTCATTTTTAACTTGTGTAAAAAAAATTAACTGTAATCTTGTCTTTTTACTGAAGCTCTTGTATATTGTAGCTAGGATCTAACACCTTCATATGTATAATAAAGAACTCTAATTGCTTTTGTAATTTATAGAAGATTATGTAGAAATTATATTTTTTTATGCACCTGCTAATGATTATCACAGGCACCTTGGGTACTTCACCAGTGTTACACAATTTAGAGTTAAGTAGATATAGCTGTACTTAGACAATTACAGCACTGTACATGAGTATTTTTTAAGGTAGCTAAGTTATAAATTCAGTGACAAAACTGTATTGCTTATTGTAATTTATTCTTCCCATGACTTTGTTAAAGAATATTTATCTCAATAATTTCTCTACGATTATTGTCTGGAAGAACTTAAATTCAGTGTTTTTCTCGTACAGTACAGTATTTTTACTTCCTTCCCTCGCTCTTTAATATCAGGTGTGAGAAGTTTATGGTCTTGGATGGGTTTCTGTCTCTTATGCTACCCTGGGCCACTAATGAGATTTGCATGAATACAAAGAGAAAATTGAGGGAATAGGAGGCTTTAGTCACATATTGAGAGAAAATCATGTGAAAACAGTCATATACAGGGTATACTATTTATAAAGGTATCGGAGTGCTGGCATTTTGGACCTTCTTCCTCAACCCATATGTAACCAAGTTTTTGATTGGCTGGTTTTTGGTTCATTTACCCAATTGGCTGTCAGGTTTTGTTTAGTGATTTAAAATGTTTAGGACTGTCGATATCAAATCCAAGGCCTGAGTATTAGGCGAGTCAAGTGGTATTAAAATTTTGAGAAAAAGGGGGGGGGGGAATAACAGAGGAGAGTGATGCGAGACAGATATAGAAAATAACAAGCTTACCTACACAAACTTACAGTATGTAAAGCAAGTGCTGTGCTGTACAGTATTTAGCCTCCACTGTTTGTGCTTGTCAGTTATCTAGTGTCATGAATATTTTTGATGGTCATAGTATCTTAATTTTTTCTGCCATTTTCAAGGCTGGTTTTTAAAAATGCTGTACTTGAAGTTAAGGCTTGACGTTGGATGTGGTGAAGATATGTTTTAAATAGTTTTAATCTTTTTTTTGTCTGTCACAACTGTTCTACATATTAACTTGGTATATGTAGCTATTTGCTAGTACAGTACTGTATTTCAAGTACTATAGACTGTTTGAGTACCAGACTTAACTTAGTATCTGTAGCTATTTGCTAGTAAAGTATAGTACAGTATTACTAGTAAGGACTATGTAGATATGTATCAGATATAACGTAGTATCTGTAGCTATTTGCTAGTAAAGTACAGTACAGTATTACTATTAAGGACATAAAAGTAGTACTGGGCTGATGTCTCATGCAATGTACTGTACTGGTCTTGATATGCTGTTTGTGCTTAATATTATTGTGTTACATTGAGGCAAATCTGAGGGAAGAGTTGGTAGTGCAATTTTATATGTGGCTACAATTCATTTTTTAGTTTCTTTGCAATGGAGCCTTGATACCTATAGAGTTCGCATGTCTTATTAATACAGTGCTGGTAATGATGGTAGTAGAAGTGAAAAGTCATATATGGAAAACTTACAGATGGACAACAAACCTATACAAGTACATGTACTGTATACATTTATATAAAAGGTTATTTTCAGTGGACACGTTCACTTGGGAATGTATTATTGTTTTTAATAGAAGAGACATTTCTCTTAGACATGTAGTGAAGACATTTGTGATAAAGATTCAGTGGCATCATAACAGGGCTCAGGTTCTAGGAGGTTTAGGAGTTAAATGATTTTCTAAATGGTGACGTGAGAAAGTTTTTAACCAGATCACTAAACTTAAACTTGAAATATTAGCAACCAATAGGGAATCCACATTGTGCTTAGATTCTGACATACCTACATGTATTCTGTTGTTAGTTACATGGAAACTTGTGAGGAATTAGACACAGATAAGAGTGCGGTACTGTACCCAAAACCCTTAGTGCCTGGAGGAGTACCCAAGGTGTTCCTGTTGACTGTCTTATCATTTTTATAATCTCCACTTTGATTCTGTATTTATGTAAGTACAGGAACTTTTTTCATCCTCATTTGTGTGTATGGCAAATATTTACAAAAGATTAATGATTAGAAATTATCTGTTGTAGCAGATTGTAAATTTTATTATTGTTTACACTGTTTAAGGTCTAATAAGTATGTAAATAATTAGTTCTACTTTACAGTTTCATTAAAAGTTAAGTGTATAAGGATATTATAATGTACAGTACTATGTTATCTTTTAGTTGACAAAAAATATACCTTGAGTATTGCATATTTTACTAGGATGTGCAAAGATTTTTTTTAATTCCAGTGTACTGAGGTTAATGTGTAAATAACACCACTGTTTTGAGATGTTGCATCACTCATAACACAGTATTTATTGTGCATTATTTATAATTTTGTGTTTCCATTAAATTAGTGAAAGTAGTTATGATCCCTCACGTGATATTGTTTGGTGGCTTTAATGAATGGTATTATACCCCCTGATGTTTTACTAACTTATGTGTATTCATGTAATGTTGGTGGTTCAGCGGTAACGCATGTATCTCTCACTAATATATCAAGGGTTTGAATCCTGCTTGGCCCGGACACACGTGAGAAGGGTGTCATCCAGTGTGACCCTCACTACCAAATATCACAGGTTTCCCAGCCTCTGGTTTCCTCCTTTACTAACACTGGATAGACCAACCGCCCAAATGGCTAGTAAGCTTATCAATGTTAATAATGCTAATAACAGCTTCTCAAAAGACTGTTGTTATTTCTGTGTATTTATTAAAAGAAATAAAATTTGAGCAATGTATTCATCATCATGGAAGATCCTCTCTACCATCTGTAAAATGTATAGATGTCAAACAGTTGTGACTGCTGGTCATTAAAGGGTTATTGGATTTTTATAATGTAGAAATGTTACATTTTAATTTTAATCTTTTTATACAGTACAGTACGTACATAGTATGTAGTGTAATGAAACATGCACGAGATACTTTTACAAGAGTAGTGAATGTCTTGGAAAAGTGATGTTTTGAGTCTAAATTCTTCAAGCCATCGACATGAACTATGTTTATTGATCTCACTTACACAATAATAATGTGCTGTTGTTACATCCCATTATGTTAAGGATGATGGCGGAGTTACGGTATATTGATTATAGTTGAGTAAGAACCAAGTTTAATGCTGAAAGTAAAAGATTTAGGTGTATTAATGTATCATGTAGTTAGGTTAGGTAATTAGGTTAAATTAGGCTGGGTTTGGTGTTGAGTCTGGTAAAGTAAAGTTAATGTGGATCATCATTACAGGTGTCTTTAAAAAAAAAAAAAAATTAAGGCTAAATGTACCTACAACACCTCTACCATTACTGAGAGGAGAGACAGAGTTATGTCTTGTATGACAGGATCTCTCTCAGTTTAACTACATCCCTTATGAATAGAGGGTATGGAAGCTCTGATGAACTTTTTGTCTGAAGGCCAAGAGGTGTGAATATGCAGTGGTTTCTTGGGATAGCTGGATGATCTCTGCATGATTGGACAATGTGGCACCTGGGAACTTGTGGTGCTCTTTGCCCTGGTTCCTGAGGTAAAGGGTACAGGTCACTATTGCTTGAAGTAATGACAGTACCTCCTTCCTGATTGTACAGTACTAGCTGGCTTGAGCATACAGTACACTGGTTATGAATGAAAGATTGATTCTGACATTCTATATATAATTAGCCTAGATTGATCGGGTGACTCAGATCCCTCCCTCGTACCTAGGGAGGTTGACGATCTGGGAACTGAAGCTTTGTATATTCTGAGCCTTGTTTTATAGCCAGCTTGGGTTATAGAACACATGTACTATGGTGGGGTGGCATAGACTCACAGCCCACATCCTTTGGGCATTTGGATTATTGGAGGTATTCTCTAATTATAAGAGCTGCAGTTATACTGGGAAAGATCCTATAGTTAAGTCCATAAACTTATTACATTAGTACAAGATTTGTCTGATGCATGCTCGTTATAAAATGTGATTTCAGAATCACTTCTTTATATTTGAAGAGGACAGTATCTCTATGATCATCCTTTCATGTTTTCTTTAAATTTGTTGTCGTATGTAGATCTCTTGTATAAACTTTATAAATTGCAATTCAGTGCACTTTCAACATTTTGGCAATTGTGTTATGCACACAGTACTCTACTCATGAGCACAAGTGATACAGAATTAATTCACTTAGGAAGACATTTTCTTGATGAGTTTTGTTGTACGATATTTGCACACTAACCCATTCCTTACAGCTTGTACCGTACTAATGGTTCTATTTAACATTTACTGCTACTGCCATTTTTAGATATGCTTTTTGAGACATGTGGTATGGAGGGGTTTGGTGGTTTGTATATGGGCACAGTGATGTAGAGTACTGTACTGTACTGTACTGTACTGGTAATAACCTGAAGGTAATATGATGCCTGAAATCCAAGTTTTAATTAAATTTGTCATACCAAAGGTAATGATTATTTACATATATGTTTCATTGATACTAGGGATTTTGTGTAATGAGAGGAGATATATGTTGATGTATTTGTTCCTGGAAATGTTCAAAGTTTAAAGATGCACAATCAAGGTGCTGTATGTACTATACAGTATTGTATTTTTATTTTGACCAGCAAAAACAACTGCTTAAAGGTACTCAATAGGTAAATATTATTCTATTGTACTTCATTGCTACTATTATTTTATCTTAATTAGTTATTTATTTTCAAATGCAGGATATAGTTATGCATTTCTTTCTGCTTCATTAGTGACATCTGTACTCATGCTCAATAATTAATTAGTCTCAGACCAAATAGAGTATAATTTTATATGGTATGGACATGAACGTTTGTATTGGAAAAAAGTTTTCCCCGCTACAGAAATTGATAAGTACAGTGGGGTATGCTATAACGAACGGATCCTACTACGAATATTCCTATAACGAACGGTTTTACCTATAAAATTGAGAATGCTATAACGAACGAAACTCCTACAATGAACATTATTTAATTTTTTTTTTTCTAATTTATTGTTTTTTTATTACAAATATTAATGATATTCTTTATTTCAGGGGTTTAGATGCATATTTATGCACTTTTTTACAATTTTTACAATTTAGATTATATTTTTCAGTGTTAAGTGGTTGTATTTGGGGGCCTGGAATGGATTAATCCTATAACGAACGAATGCTATAACGAACAAGGTTCTAGAACCAATTAGATTCGTTATAGCATACCCCATTGTAACTTGGTTATAATAATATATATATATATATATATATATATATATATATATATATATATATATATATATATATATATATATATATATATATATATATATATATATATATATATATATATATATATATATATATATATATATATATATATATATATATATATATATATATATATATATATATATATATATATATATATATTACACAGAATACTACAGTATATATTGGTAATGTAACCCTCACTTTCCCATTAACTTCACTACAAAAATACAAGAATTGAACTGCTACACAAAATGATCCCACCTACACCTCCTAACACAACTGTCCACAAAAACAACAATCTAGTAACCTCCTCCATCTAAAGGCCATAACCAAACAGCATAATGAACATCCACATCTCGGAAACAATGCTCCCTGGGGAGATAAAGTTCAATACACCAGAATTTTGTTTTGTTCAACATCCTTCCCTAAAATAAACACACAATGCAGTAATACCTCGCCAGCTGTGGTTTTTATTTAATATATCCAAAGTTTATATTTTGTTCACTGTTTTGCCGAGTGTGGTACTGTATCCAGTTTTAAATATCCGTAGTTTCGACAAGGATTTTAGTCCAGCACGGCTGGAATGTTTACAAGATCAGGTCTGTCAATTGGTTGTCTTGTTCACTTCGGAGTACAGTACAGTATATATTTTTTCCTCAATTTATTATCACTTACCACGCCGAGATCCTTTCCTTCTTTAAATAAATTAGCTTTTTTTTTTTTTTTATATTTTGTGTTATAAGCCATATGGGTTTACACTGTCCTGGCAATATTCATCACTGTACTGTACTTGATTTTAACATTGAGCTGTACATTATTGAAGTTTAGGTATGTATATTGCTCAGGGATCACTTTCCTAAACCCGATATTTCCCATTGACCCGTCATTTACCAACAGCGGGAGAATTCTAGCATGTAATACCCACAGTTGGCGAGGAATTACTGTACCCAACTCATTCAGAATCCATACTGTTCACAATGCAACGTTGACCCGCCGCACACCTCACCTCGTCGTCCTGCGTGACATTTACCCGACACAAACAATCTTTCATCATAAATATATCTGGGAGTGACCAGAAGCAGAGTGATTTAGCCTTTCAAGTACATAATGCTGGTGTTTATGTACAGTACTTATACTTAGCCCTTTACAGTACATATCATTACAAAGTGTAGTTACATAATTTGTATGATTGAGTATATTTTGCTCTTATCTGATTCATTATTTGTAAAAAAAATATATGTATATATATTTATATATACAGACAGGAGAAAAAATTGTGATATTAAGTTAGACTTCATATTTCTTCCATTCCACTAACTCGGAGATTTGTTTGTCGAAGTTCTTTAAATAAACCTGTGATTCCAGTAGGTGGTAAAAATAAGTTGGCACAAAGTGGTTGAAATATATGGCTAATGATCCATATTAAGGCACATTTGAGTTTTTATTGAAAAAAGTTGCATTATATTAATGATTTTTGAGCCACATGTTCTGAGTTCCTGTTTGAAGATGTCGTCTTTTGTTGACGAAAGAAAAGGTGAAGGCGGCATTTCTTACGCCATTCCCACAATTTTGTAGGGTGGTAACTCCATGAGGTTTAATGTGATTTTTTAATTCTTCTAGTCCTTATTGTAAAGGCCTCATAAGATCTTAACTTCAGGATTTGGTGTTTTTTTGTATTTATGGAAATGTTCAGTTCCTAAACCTATGAATTTCTGAGGATCATTTGCACTACATGGCTCTTTCAGTGGGTCATGAAACTATAAGGTGGTATTCTGTCACCTTCCCTGTTTTTGCTGGACAACTGCAGAGTCTGATAAACTATTTCCTTACACCTGTCTAGAGTGTGCACAATGTGCATGACATATCCCTATTGCAAGAAAGTCAATATGGCAACATTTTGTGATTGAGGAGGTCGTGGGATGGATTCAGCCCTCCATTTTCTCATCTGCAAGTGTTCATCAAATAATTTCCTGAATGGAACATTGTCATTAGATGAACTTGGTGAAGAGAAAGAGAATCACAAGTTTATTTTTAGGGTTTCTTTGACATTGATTACTCTCATGTACAGTATACTAAAGGGATAAATATATTAATGGTTTCTAATCCCGGATATTTTTGTATTATTTTCATCCTTTGTATTCTTAAGAATGTTAAATTGTTCATTAATGGGGCTTTTTGATAAACCTCCATAAAGACACAGGAAGTATATGAGTTATCAAAAAGGAGGAGAGAAAAATGCAAAATATGTTTGGTTGTGTGGATGTAATAAATATGATATGAAGAGTGATTTTAAGTTATGATAAAAGTATGTAGCCTGGATCATATACAGTGTATCATGTTTTTATATAAAAAATGTATACTGTACGGAGAGAAGATTATCTGGAGACTAATGTGTGAACTCATTTAAGATCAGATTTAACTAATGCTGTTGAAGGTACAGACACATTTTAGAGTCAGTACTTCAGTGTACAACAAATGTGTGACCAATCGCCCTAGCAGCTAACAGGTCGATCAGTGACATTGAGAGTAAATTAAAGTATAATATAGAGGTTATGTGTGGACATGTATCTGTATTGACTGTGTTTCAGTTGGAATCCTGGCCAAGGATAGATGTGAAAACGCTGTTATCCAGTGTGACGCTACCAAGCATGGCAGGTATCCTCCGGGTACTGTAGTTACCTACTGCACTAACACTGGACAATAAAGTTCAAAACAAAGAACAGGCCAACTGCCCAAACTGCTAGTAAGCTGATGAGTGTGAAATGGTAAATTATATGTAATGATCTCCTAGTTGTCTTGGGTGCTGTTTTTATTTAGCTATCAAATAACTTACTGAACTTTATGATTTTCAGGGTAGGTTAGGTTAGGCCATTTCATGCTCCTTGTTTCCTCCATCATGCTGTTGTGATATATGAGCCTTGGCTAGCTCTTGTCATGTATACTAGGTAACAGCTAATTCTGAAGGACATCATCACATGATGGCTAGTGCCAATGAGAGCTGAATGTTCCAACTTGGCCACCATACTCTCCTCATTAGTTATGATGAGATCCAGTGGTATGGGTGTTTGTTTACCTCTTTAATGAGTTGGATCGTTAGCATGTTGGAATAGGAAATTGTTTCAAGAGTTCCTCCCCCCAAAAAAGGAGAAGAGTTGAATCTGTCTTGAGAATCGCTAATACCCATGATTATACTGTCACCTTGTACTATGTGCTGTTAAGGTTTAGTTTTCCTTTCAATGGCAGAAAACTGCTACCACCACACATTTTCTTGTGGTGCAGTAATTTAAAATTGTACTTTATCATTTCACCACAAATCAGCAGTTTCTGTACAGTACTTTATTATGACTTTTAGTGTTTAGTAGTGTCAGTATAGGAAGAAACTTAAGTTCCCAGAGAAAACTTGCCGTGTTTGTTGGTAAATTGAATAAAATTGAAATTTGACTGAAAAATATTATCTGTAATTATCTTCATTAAATTCCAAACATTAATTTAGTATTCAACAAACCTTTCTATAATTAATTGGTTTTAATGTACTGTACAGGTTTACTAATCTAATTTTGAACAACATTGACTGAGGTGTGAAACAAAGATTCTTATTTACATAATGTTCTCTGATATTTTCAAAAATTTTTATTACTGTACAATACAAGATGAAAAATGCAACCAAGTATTGTAACTGTGAGAGAGAGAAGGGAGAGAGTGTGTGATTAAGACAGTTCATCTCATCTTGACTGTCACTTACGCATTATCTTACCAGGCATACCGTACTACATGATCATCCTTGCCAACAAGAAAAACAAGACAAAGAAGTAGACAAATGAAACAAGAAGATCAATAGAGAGAAGAAAGCAAATCTATTGTCATGGTGTGGTAATACTGTACTGTCATAGTGTGGTAATACTGTCATGGTGTGGTAATACTGTACTATCATAGTGTGGTAATACTGTCATGGTGTGGTAATACTGTACTATCATAGTGTGGTAATACTGTCATGGTGTGGTAATACTGTACTGTCATAGTGTGGTAATACTGTCATGGTGTGGTAATACTGTACTGTTATAGTGTGGTAATACTGTCAAAGTGTGGTAATACTGTACTGTCATAGTGTGGTAATACTGTCATGGTGTGGTAATACTGTACTGTCATAGTGTGGTAATACTGTCATGGTGTGGTAATACTGTACTGTCATAGTGTGGTAATACTGTCATGGTGTGGTAATATACTGTCATAGTGTGGTAATACTGTCATGTGGTGTGGTGTGGTAATACTGTCAAAGTGTGGTAATACTGTACTGTCATAGTGCATGGTGTGGTAATACTGTACTGTCATAGTGTGGTAATACTGTCATGGTGTGGTAATACTGTACTGTCATAGTGTGGTAATACTGTCAGTGTGGTAATACTGTACTGTCATAGTGTGGTAATACTGTCATGGTGTGGTAATACTGTACTGTCATGGTGTGGTAATACTGTCATGGTGTGGTAATACTGTCATGTGTGGTAATACTGTCATGGTGTGGTAATACTGTACTGTCATAGTGTGGTAATACTGTCATGGTGTGGTAATACTGTACTGTCAAAGTGTGGTAATACTGTCATGGTGTGGTAATACTGTACTGTCATAGTGTGGTAATACTGTCATGGTGTGGTAATACTGTACTGTCATAGTGTGGTAATACTGTCATGGTGTGGTAATACTGTACTGTCATAGTGTGGTAATACTGTCATGGTGTGGTAATACTGTACTGTCATAGTGTGGTAATAATTTACTGTCATAGTGTGGTAAGTACTCTATAGTATTATTGAGACACACTGTACTGTAGTTTGTGTAATATTCACTGTAGATGTAGATATTAAAACTTCGGTAGAGTACTAAGAAAAGACTAACACTTAAATTATGAGTGAGTGGGTTTGAGTGAGGGTTTGAGTGAGTGTTTATTAGTGAGTTAAGTGTTTATTAAGTCTTGTTGAACATTTAAGTGATAGTGTAGCTGCTGCAATTAGTGTTAACTTTATGTAAGTGGCTAGTGATGATGGTCACTGTAGGGAATAGTTTCTTCATTTATATAATTTGGGAAATATTCCATGTCTATTATGTGCTCGCGTCGTATATTACTGTTACAAGATGCTAGGAAAGAGCGGCCATTTCTTGGAAGTCGTAGGATATTTCACCTGTTGTGTTGTAAAAGTTTCTTAAAAGCGATTTCTCGGAATGCCTGAAGAATCAATAACATGTTGCAGTGGCTGAGTTAAAATGAATTTCCAAGAGGATGACAAAAATGACGTCACGCTGAGTTACGCTGAGGCACCTTGGCTGCACACTTTCATTCATCACCAGTTAGAGAGTAAATTTAAAGGTGCTGTACAGCAGGACTTTAATTTTACCTCTAAACTGGTGCTAAGTGAACGTGTCTATAGCGCGTTTTTTCCCAGCTGAGAAAAGATGCCCTGCCCCCTCCTCAAGAGTTACAGCCGATTGGCTGTTGCAAACCTGTCCGATTTTGCCCTGAGTAATGATGTATTTCTAAATAAGTTTTTCATAATGACCTTTTCTGACGAGAAAGATATTTAACTAAATTATATAAAGATATATGCCTTCATTATTTCAAACATAAGCACGTAGGAAGTTTATCAGAAGTATTATATGTGAATTAACTGATAATCTCGGGAGTAAATTCATGCTTTCAGATGATGCATTTAATATATACTTATTTTTACCCACAATAAGGCATACCAAGACAAATTACATTTCAGTAATACTACATTATGCAAAAACAACATTTTAAGAGATCAGAATCACATTGAAATATTACATGACCGTCAGCAGAGGCTGTAACTCTTGAGGAGGGGGCGGGGCATTTTTTCTCAGCTGAAAAAACGCACGATAGTTAAGTCTCGATGTAATTACTCTTGAGGAGGGGGTGGGGCATTTTTTCTCAGCTGAAAAAACGCACGATAGTTAAGTCTCGATGTAATTACTCTTGAGGACGGGGCGGGGCATTTTTTCTCAGCTGAAAAAACGCATGATAGTTAAGTCTCGATGTAATTATCCTGTTGTTATTTTCTGTTATAATAATTTTTACCTTTCTTACATCTTTAAATACGTAGTATACCAGGAATATTATACGAGTGACCATTTGTGAATGTCGGGTCCTGTGGTGGGAAATTTGGGGAAAATAAAAACGACAATGTAATATACTTCAATATACACTTTATTTGTAAAGTATAATAAATGTCATAGTATACTTTCATACACATAATATATAATAATAAATATCCAACAATAGAGATACAGTAGTTTATAGTACATGCATCTCTGAATAAATAAGTTACAAACAAATGAAAAAAGAAAACATTGCTAGTTCTAATATCATCTAGCGATTTTAATCTACGTCTTCGGCAGCCAGGAAGCGAAGATTTCTCTCTGGTGTAAATCATCAGAGAGGTTTGGGCATTTATTTTTCTCTTTCCTCTATATAAATAATACTTCAATGTTCTTAAAGGTTATGTACTGTATAAGTTTACTTACCATAGAGAGAGAGAGAGAGAGATTTTATAAGTTGTGATAAATTTAAGAAGTTTAATGAACGATGTTCATTTGCTTTAGTTTAGCATTAAGTATAAAGGGTTCAAGTTGCTGTTTATATTGAGAGAGAAATAAAGATATAAGATAAAGGTAACAAATAACTCATCATTGAACTACGAGGTAACTTATGACTTCGCCACCAGAAATAATGCTGTTTGTTATTTATTACGGTTGGTTAGGTCTCCATCATCACCCCCAGTGCACCCAGACTAGTTCCCGCCTCGTTTTAAGGTCAACTGAATTATTGTAGAGTAATTTTGTTTACTTTTGAAATAGGTTTCATAGTAAGTAGAAATGGATATGATTTTTATCACAAATTTGCCTCTTTAACCAAAGTAACTCCTAAATTTAAATTTGTATGTACAGGTATTACCATTTTACCATTAAGTCAGGAGTGAACGATGACTTTTTTATGATTTATCCAAAAAATTTGTGTTGCACCTGTACAGGGAATCGTGGTGGTGGAGGGTGTGGGCGGTGGGCGTTGAAGGACACTGGTGGACCCCCTGCCAGGTTGGTCTTGGCGTTAGCGTGGATGGCAATGTCTGCACAGTTCCGGAACATTATCTCCTGTGGCTTGAATTGTTCTGTAGGGGGAAATGATTATTATATAAAAGTCTAAATGTTTATTGTTAAAATCTTTGTGATATTATTATTCTCATGTGGAAAAGTTGGACGAAAATTTTCAAAAGTTAGTCAACATTTGATCCTCACGAAACAAACTTACAGAAAAGTGGTTAGAAACCTCCATCCTTTGGTCACCACTGGTTATATGACATATTAGACACAAATCACCAAAATATAGCAACTGAGTGTAAAAAATGAGTCATCAGGTAAATAAAATGCCCACTATAATTTCAAGTTTAATCCCGTTTGTATCGGTGGGCGTTCGTAATTTGGGGACCCCCTGTATCTTAGAGCTACAGGAAACAACACCTATTTATTACTGTCACCAGAAAGTATACGTAATGTTTGTATAAGAATTCGACTAAAATATTCATAGTAATGCTACGATTCAACTGCGTTCAATCAATCAACGTGGCATCCTTAGGTCTGAGGAATGGCGACTACTGCCCACCAATCGATATATTTTTTAGGTTATAATCGTCGCTTATTTTTTGTATCCGAGGCTCAGCTTAATACAGTATTTCATTCATCCATCCACATTGACCTCTGACCTTACCTGCAGTGTTGGACATCTGGAGGACACACTGGTCGCAGGTGACGCCGGAAGGTAGCCTGAGCTTGAAATTGAGTTGTTCTTTCTTATCGTAGGTGGCACTGATCTTGACTTCATGTGAACTCCGACCTGACCTGCTCACAACCTCCAGTGGGTGCCTGCAGTAAGGAGGGGGGAGGAGAGAATGTAGACCTGGGAGAATAAAGGCAGTGAAGCTTTGGAGAAGGGATAGAGAAATAGAAGACGGGGAGATAGGAATTGAGATTCAAAGGCGGGAATAAATGCTAAAAGGAACATGAGTGTAAAAAAAATATATAAAACATAAGACTAAATGAAGAATGTGAGAGTTGGAACAAAACTAATGATGGAAAATAACGTTTGGGTAGTATAGAAAACGTGACACTGAACACACACAGTTGTGGTACTCACAGGTCGAGGCACCTCTGAGAGACTGGCTTGTTAGCGTTGTTGTGAGGACACAGTTTGAACACGATGGAACCTCCGTGACTGCGGGTGACGTTCACGTGCACATCCACCTCCTGCAGGACAGAGGCGTGTGTTATTGAAGGCCAGGGGTGGAGGTGGAGAAGAGGGGTAAGGGAAAGGAAAGTGAGATGGGGTACAGGAGAGTTATAGGAAACGGGAGAGGTGAGGGAAAAAGATAATTAGAAAGAGTAGAAGGAAGAGAGAGATGTGGAGGGGTAGAGTGGTTGGGTCAATTGAGGAGAGACAGGAAGGGGAGGAGGGCATGACTCACCTGACCTATGGTGTAGTGTCTGGAGATGATGCCAGTCGCCCACTGGCCCCCTCCCTCGTGTGGGTGGGGCGAGGGGGTGTCAGCACTGTCGCCGCAGGGGGGACAGTGACCCTTTCCGGGTTGTTCGTGGCAGATGAGGTAGTCGTCGTCATCGTGGCGAGGGAGGTTGTATCCCATCCTCCACATGACATTCCTGGCCGGCGGCTCCTGTAGTGACAAGTGGGCCGTCGCCTGTCAGAGAGAGAGAGATAAGACTTGGTTAAATTTGTACCTTTACTTACACTGAGTATCACATCTGCAGGAGTAATACTGTACATGTGCCAGTTTTACTTTGTTTTGATATTGACCTGTTGATATCTATTATTATTTCGAAATTTACATAATAGTTTTATGTATAAAACAACAGGTGTAAGAGAATTTTTGTTTTGTTTTTTGTCAAGTTTAATTATAATACTGTAGACGACGAATCTAAGGTGATATAACCACACAGTCGCCTCAAACACTGACATTTATCTTGGGATTGTTGGTGTTCGGTAACTTTCGAAACTGTTATAAACAATGTGTGACATAAACACACATCATGAAGGTCTCGCTCGTGACCATAAAACCAGGGGAAAAACAGAAGAACATCGGGTTAGTAATTGGCGGGAAATATGAATCAAGGATAAATACAAACTCCTTGATCTATATGAGATGGTTTGTACACTATACCTGTCCTGGGATGTCTCACGGCTCTGGTACACCTATCAAAGGATGTCTCACGGCTCTGGTGCACATAAAACCCATCCAAGGTTCACAAATCGTAATTAAGCCGAAACAGTGAGGGGGGAAGAGGTATAGTGAAGCGCAGGAATTAGTCGTCATGGAGGTCGAGTTCACGGCCTCACTGGTCCACCATCTGGGCCTCGGGGGGTGATGGGGAAGATGATGGTTCGTTGTCATGGTAATGGGGGTGTTATGGTTGTCATTATGATGGGGGTGTATTGGTTGTCATGGTAATGGAGGTGTTATAGTGGAGGTAGTGGTGTCGACAGTGGTGGTTGTGGGATGATGACAGGAAATTAGTAGTAAGTGGTAGAGGAGTAGTATAGTGGTAGTGGTGGTGGTGGGAGTCAAGGGGGATTGTTGGAGGAGGGAGGTAAGGGGGGTGAGGAGGAGGGAGGGAGGGTGGTAAGGTAAGTAGGTCAAGGATAATAGGTAGCAAAAGAATAATGACAACAATAACAGTATCGGAATGGTGTCAGCGGGGATGTCAGAGAGGTTTTGTCAGTGGTGATATCAGAAAGGTGTTGTCAGCGGTGATGTCAGAAAGAGGTTTTGTCTGGTGATATCAGAAAGGTGTTGTCAGCGGTGATGTCAGAAAGGGGCGTTGTCATCTCATTACTCTTGTAGCTGTACAGAATTTCATTTATTTATTAACATTCTTGGTAGTCATTCCTCTCTGCTGGCCTCCAGGTAAATAATATACCTTGTCAACTAATGAACTTTGGACCACTGGTTTGCGAGGCGAGCGTGCCGACTATAACACCACACACAGATCGCTATGAAACACTACAGGTCCCCCACCATCTGATGTTTGTTTACAAGTCCAAGTGTTGGCGTAAATATGCTCGCTGGGTGACAGTAATGTCAACAATATCCTTCAGGGAGGGAAACAAATACTGGTATGTAGTATATTGACTGTTTATGTATAAGAATTAATGTCTGGAGGGAGAGGTAATGAAGAAGGGTGAGAGTGAGAGTGGGTAATAGAATGGTCAAGGTTAATAAATATTAACTTCCCGACGTGTGTACTCTCACCCCTCTGTCACACCTCACACCTATCACATCTCTCATACACCTGCCTCACCTCTCACACACCTGTCTCACCTCACATATGTCTCACATGTCATGCACTTGTCATCTCTCTCTCGGCACGGGGGCAACGCACTCATCATTCTGGTGACGAATATATACAGCCAATGTAATGTTGTTGTATTATTAATCCGTGTTAAGTGAGGAAAGAGAGAGGGAGTAAAGTGAGGAAACTTTATGAGGGAGTGAGAGAAAGAGGTAAATAGGGAGACAGAGATAGACAGACACATAAAGTAAGAAGAGTGAGATAAGTAGGAGAGAGAGAGAAAAAAGTGAGAAAAATAAAAAATGATATAATAGATGAGAGAAAGAGAGAAGTAAAAGTAAGAAAAATGAATTAAAAAGTAAGATACAGATAGAAATAACAGAGAGAGAGAGTGAGTTACGACATTTCACTGGAGGGCAGTAACGTCCTATATACAGTACAGGGCAGATATAACAGGTTCTCCCTTCCCCCCCCTCCCTGCTCCTCCTCCTCTGTGCCTTCGTCATTATCAGAGTGACGCATCAAAAAGCACACACCCCGGCGTCAGAGATTCATACCTTGATTTATTCTTTTACGTGCAAAGGAGAGAATCAGATAGGTTAAATCTCGAGTCGTATTAAAGTCATATTATTTGGTGTGTTATTTTGATCGCGGTTTATAGCTTTATATTACGGGTTCCAAGTTCTTAAGGTGTTGTGTGTGTGTAGGAAACGTTTATTGCGTGTCTGGACCTACAAATCGGTGTTTATGTCTGTCCTGATTCTCTGAACTTGTATGTTGGGGAGAAATATTTATATCTGGTCAACGTGATGACACACACAGTATATAATAACATCAAGGTGAAGAAGATTGGGTTAGGTTAGGGCTCCCTGTTAAACACTCCCTACCTGAACACCAAATAAATGTGTATCTTAATCATCAAAACTAAGAGCCATTTAGAGCCACAGTAGTGTCTAACTTGGGGCCTATCAGGACCGGGGCGCATTTGACTATTATTCTACAGTAAATTAAACGTAAACAGTAGGGCAGGTGTTGTGGTAGCTGGCTGATAGCGAGGCGTCGGTGTGTTTTGTCAAGGAAGGGAAGGGATGGGAAAGGGTGAGATGGATAGATGAGACAGAAATAATAAACTCCCCTCTTGATACTTTCTCCTCCAAGTTTTTATTTATATGTATTTTAAAATCATTGGCAATCCAGTTTTTGTTAAGTTATGTTTAAGTTCCTCTGGCACAAACACTTCACCAGGAATAATCTCAGACAGTGGGACGCTCAGCATTCACAAAGTCATGCAGTTTCTTTTGTCGCTCATCAACTTCGCTCACTTTTCCTGTCAATTATCCAGCTCGTCAGCGTTCACTTTTGTTGGGACATCTTCTTAGGTGGAATATAAATACATCTTTTGATACTTGGCTTCAAGATACAATTAGTAACGTTATAATATTTGTACGAAAAAATCTTTCTAGTTTTTTATCGTTTGTGCAGTAACAATGTATGCCTGAGAACTTTTTAATATTTTACGTTACATATTATTATTTATAACTCAAGTAATTTAACAATACATAGTTATACAGTATTATATAAAGAAGGCAATGTAAGATCGCTTGTACTTCTCCAGATAACAAATTAACAAATACTGGAAAGGACTTGCAAAACATCAGAAGTATTGCTTAACAAATCCAGATTTTTTTCCTCCGAGTTTTTAAAGATTTTTTTTTCAATCTTTGTGTTGTGTTCTTAAGGTTTGTCTTCCTGTGTCATCTTGCCGAGTATAACAAATTATTATTATTATTATCAGAGATGGTGATGGAAGATTTAACACGTTACTTTGGTTAAGTAGTAACGATGAAAGGGAAATTTTGGCAAAGCGGCGAGAATGAATTGACACAACGTGAAAGTATTGTGTGTGGAGAGTGTAAAGTGGCGACAACAACATTTAGGCTAAACTAGGTTTTATGGGCCTGGTGAATTGTCAGTAATAAGAGGTTAAATGTGGTAGATAGTGGTAGAGGTGGCAGACAGTGGTAGAGTTGGCAAATGGTGGCAGACAGTGGTAGAGGCGGCAGACAACTGGTGGTGGCGGGGAGGGAGGGAGGCAAGACAGGCTGCAGGACTGGTCACGAAGAGGAAATATCTCAAGTGCAAGTGGTGCCGGAGGTGTAGTGGAAGGTACTTATTAGTCTGCGAGTTTCTTTCTATTTTTAGAGAAAATTATACACTTATGGATAACGAAAGTTTACAATATATACCATCTGATATAACTGAATTAACACTGATAAAGAAATAAGGGTGATACGGATAACCGTTATACCTTTTAAGAGACGAGTGCGGTTTGCAGGTTACTAAGCTCCCAAATCGCTTTTTTTGTTTTGTGTGGAGTCCTCGACATGTCAGTTGTCTTACCACTGTGATTTTAACTTTATCTAAAGTGGCGACGTAATTTTTTCCCCTTTTCAGCTTGGAAATCGCTTCTCAAAATTATAGCTCGTCCAATACTTGGCCCAACACTCGCTGCTCTCGCTGTTATACCCTTATAGCATTTAACCAAAGTATGCCACGTCGTCATCACTAAGACAGGCATAAAATGTTTTAAGATTAGTCTTGACAAATAAAATAATCTATAAGCTTATTAGAGTTGATTTCCTTGAGTAAGTAACGCACCATGTTGACAAGAGTAGCAGCTGTAGATAAATTTTGGTTTGTTCGTCAAAAATGGAGTCATTACTTTACGCCCACTGCCTCTACATACAGTATACTTGACGTGTGTTGACTAAGGTGGCGGAGCTCCTTGTGCAGTGTTTCGTGGATATGGTTCATTATTTCTACGTTCCCACACACACAGAGTATGTACGAGTATATATAACTTATGAATCATGTGTAGTTGTGTTAATTTTATCAAACAAATTCAGTTCACTCGGTCAAGCAGGTATGTAAAAATATAAAAACTGTTTCTTCAAGGATAATGGTGTGGTTAATGGAGCCAAGACAGTTATGTGACTTAACTGTCTTGGCTCTCAACTTATGTGGCTTACCAAACTGTCCTTGAAATTTTCTGCTCCTCATCTTTCCCGCAAAACCGAGTGGCATATCAATAACACTCAATGTATAAGAGACGCCTACTTACCATCGTTCCATATAATAAAGGACTATAAACACTAATCACCAGCAGCGTCAACACCACCACTATCATCACCATTATTACCAAACATCATCATGGTCATCAGGACACTTACTATCATCATTTTTATCATTATTAAAATTTTCTTCCATTACCAAGCCAATTAGATTTTTTTTCCGGAGAAGTGGTCAGTGATTGTGTGAAATGTTTATTAAAATATATCTCTAAGTTAAGGAACGCGGTATGTGGTGGAGTTCTTCTAGATAATTCAAAGTGACAGTTGGCGGCGTTTATTGCATTTTTTGTGGTTGGTGTAAATGTTGAGTTTATCTTGAGTGTGTTTAAGTTCTCTTTAACGGGGCCTTTACTGGTGTGTTTGTTTTAATGCACTCACTGCAGTCCTTGGGGGGAGCTAGAGTTGATTGGTTCGTGTCGTACGTTGTTTATTGTTCCACATTGCATTTGATTCCCGTGCAATAAATAATTAAAATAAACATATTACTCTTCCGTTTACAAGTGAGAAGAGATAAAGTCAAATTAAAGTGGACTTTTAACATCAATCTAGCTTGTCACTCCCCGCCTTAATTATGAAAGGCCAAGTTTATTCATGAGTGAGATTCTGTAAGCTGTCTTTTATCACTAGAACACGAGACGTTAGGTACATTCTGGGTATAATAAACATTTAAAATATCCTTAAGCAGTGTTTTATGATGCGTCTTATGTTGGACAAAAAACAGGGTAGGGGTGTGAGAGTGAGACTTGTGGGTAGGCAACACCAGGCAGGCACACCACGATGCCTTTCATCCAGCACTAGACAGGTCAGGGGCGACAGCCAGTCTGGGCCGGCCTTAAAACTACCTCTACTGTACTTGTACCTCCCTCCCGCCCGCCTCGCACCTCGACAACACACTATTTTTAGCACCAATGAATGACCCGAGTGCAGAGGGAGGGTGGAGTGGACAGCTCATCCCTCTGTTGATTTATAATAGGTTTGTTTTGAGCAGTGATTCTCCTGTTGTATCAAGGTCTAATTACACACACAGCTACATTTTAGCACTAAGTCAGCTGAAAGTAAAACAATAAATAAATAAAATATATTTTTAAAACTAAAGTCAAAGTCCCAGAAGGTGTGACAATAAATGTTTTCCTCGGTGGGAACAAGAAAGTGTCAAGTTACGGTAGCGTCTCACAGTATCGTCTCCATCAGTTTTAGTTATCTTTCCTTTGTACACAAGAACATAAGAATGGAAGAAACTGCAGCAGGCCTATTGACCCATACTCAGCAGTCCCATTTACGCTCATATATCCATCTAACCTATATTTGAAGCTATCTAGCGTATGCGAGTTAATGATGTTTGGTAACTTGTTCCACTCATCCACTACTTCACACCAATGTTTACCGCGCCTAAATCTAAATTTGTCTAATTGAAAAAGCAATGCTACGAGTTCGTTCCTGGCTGGATAATTGAAGTATCTTTGTTATATCACCTTTATTTAACCCCGACTTCCATTAATACACCTTGTAACTTAAGTGAACCGTTTAAGCCAGTGTGAGGGGGAAAATGATGACTTAAGCTCCGAGAATAAGGCCTTGACTGCAGTGCTGTGAGGGTTATAAACAGTTTTCCAATAGTCTGTATGCAAAGTGGATCTGACCTGGCCGCCTGGACTTGAATGTTTATACACACACACACACTAACACTTCATCATTTTACTGCTCAAGTTATGAAAAAATAAAAATCTTTACGTCTATTGAGGATCGCTCTCTGAAAGTAACTTGGCGTTGAAATCACACAACTCACCTGAGAGACGAAGACCAGCGCGAGGACGAGAGGAACAATCATAGTCATAAAATATAAGATTCCACAAGACACACTAGAGCTAGAGCTGGACAGGAGTGATGGTAGTGAGTTGTTGAGTTGAGTAGCGGCGGCACTGTGAGTATCCTGCCAAGGCGACCACACTCTTACCCCTGTGCAATCGGTAGCGACTCTGAGGGCCGTGTGAGCTCTCCTCTTGCCTCCACCGCCCAGGTTATATCTCGCTGCTCACGTCATCACCGCTACGTCATAGACAAACGTTTGCGGGGTTCGGGGGGCGGCTAGGAGGGTATCTTAGTGATTGGGTTTAATGGTTGAGTGGTGACGCGATGTTGGGGTTCCTGGAGGCGATTTCGCAGGTGGTGGTATAAGGGGAGGTGAGAGAGTGATGATATATGGTGATCTAGGTGGGGTGTGGTGCGACCTGCATAATGATGATGGTGGTGGTAGGAATTGTTGTTAGTGAATAGTGGTAATTGTGTTTGTTGTTTATGTTGGTGGCGATGTTGTTGTTCTTGTTGATTCTGTTAGTGGTATAGTGATAGAGGCACCGGACGGATCCTAGCTACCATTGCCACCACCGATAGTGATACTGCCAACACTTCCACCATTAACACCACGATCACCGTCACTAACACTACCACCCCTACCAAATGACATTACCACCACAACCACCCCTATAATCCTACCACCATCCCTCCACCACAGTCACCACAATTACCACCATCTCTTCATCCTTCTTCACCACTTCTTTCTCCATCACGACGACCACCACACATTATCACCATCATCACCACCACTATTACACACACACCATATCCCTGGTATATAATTCAACACCACTTACACCCTTTACCTGGCTTCTATATTTACCACTGACTCATGTCTTGATGGGGAAGGGAAAGGGGGAGGGGGCTCCATGGTGGGGGAGGGAGGGGAGGGGAGGGGAGGGAGCTGTAGGTGATGGAGGGGAGGTTGTATTGTGGTGTTGGAGGGAAAGACGGAGGGGGTTGTGTAGTGGTTGAGGAGGAGGAGGAGGTGTAGTGGGAGAGTGTGAATAGTGGGCGTGGTGTGGGTAGTGAGTCACGCCCACTACAGATCTAAGAAGCTATAGGTGTGATTGATTGGTCGTCGCCTCATCTTGGTCGCCCCTCCCTCCCTCCCTCCCTCACTGAGACCTTGATGGAGGAGGATTGGTGTTGTGTTGTGGTCCTGTTAGTGAGGTGTGTCTGTCTCTATCAGTCTCTCACATTCTCTCTGTCAATACCTGTCTCTTCCACACACACTCTCTCTCTCTCTCTCTCTCTCTCTCTCTCTCTCTCTCTCTCTCTCTCTCTCTCACACATTGGATGAAGCAGCAAAGGTTTTCATAAGACATTAAGTCAGCCTTGTTATTACGAGTCTCGGGGATTCAGAAGAGCAATACTGGACATATACTGTTGTGGTCAGCTGTTGTGAGGTTCCAGGCGGTGCAAAGCAAGTGGGTGAGGCAGAGAAAATGATTAGATTGTCAGCACTTCCAGCTTTCCCATGAGAGAGAGAGAGAGGGGATTTTCTTGAGGTTAATAGTTGTATTGTTCCAGACGAGAGAGAAAGAGATTATTATATATGTATTCATGTAAACGATTTACAGTTCGACAACAAAAGGCTCTAGTAGAATTATTTGTCATTAATACAGCCTTGGGTTGAGGGCGGTGTAGGTGGGGGGTAATGATGATGGTGGGAGGTGATAGTGGTAGTGGTGATGGTGGAAGGTGATGAGGGTGATGGTGATAATTAATTTGTTTTATTAAATATAAACAGTTTTGTCATTGGCAAGTTCAAAATCTTTCTCCAAACTCAAATTTCTTCACATTCTTTCAAAACCCATTTCCCAGGTTATAGGGCAAGCCAATGGGACCCCCATCCCCCCTCTCCTGCTAAAACTCTTGTTGAATACTGTCTCACCATAACGATATCCTCTATAAATGACAAACGTGACGTACACATATCACGGTATGCGTAAACTAGGTTACGCATCCGTAGAAATACACTCGGGGGAACTAGTTTACATGCTGGCGGAGGTGTTCCCACTAGTATACCTCCATGGATGTACCCCGTAAATGACTATACATGAACGGTCGTGAGGTGCTAAAACAACAAGCGGTGACCCAGTAAATTAATTCCTTCACTACGAGGACGCCACGATTTTATTCACAAGTGGTTAATACACCGGGAAGAACCAAGACTTGAAAATTAAATAAGAAAAGCTTGACGCCAGACCTTGTCAACGGTGGGAGAACTATCAAGGGCAGCGAAATGAGACTCGCCAAAGGTGTCAAAGAGCACAGCCAAGGTTACGGGTGAAGTGAACGAGCGGGTGACTGTGGCGCTCATACATGGCATGAATACCCTCCCCCCCCCCCCGGTGGAGGAGCCTAGAGGTGCTCCACTACACAAGCCTTGGTCCCATGATATCAGTTTTGGAAAAATAAGTCGGAAAAAATTATGAAAATCTTAGAATTCCAAAATGCGTAACATAAGTTTGGTGAGTCAAGACGTCTGTTGGTTTGTTTGTTCTCGGAAGGTGACGTGACATGAGACAATAATGATGGTGATAGTTGTAGGTGAGAGTGGATGTGGGCGGATGGGTGGGTGAGTGGTGTAGTAGTCAGCGGACCCGGGTTGGGGGGGGGGTGAAACTATGGGCAAGTTTCTTTACACCATTTGCCTCTGTCTACCCAGCAGTAATTGGGGACCTGAATGTTAATCAATCTGCGGATCGTGCTCCTGGGTACTGGTTAGCCAGCGGAGTTGTCGAGTTGTCCGGTCTTCTCGGACTAGTCCTTGACACTGGGTCATGCAACTCGTTAACCTGGGGTGTGGCGACAGCTTCTACACTACACCTTAAACAAACTCACGCCTAGGTGGCCCTTAGGCCGGCCATCCTCGTTACACGAGGGGCAACCATCATTTTAATTAAGAGTAGTACGTGCGCTTGTGTATGTGTGTTTTCACACGGAAGTGTAAACTATTGAGGCCGCCACGTCACGACTGTTAGTGCTGGGTGTGGGTGTAAGTTCTTGGTAGTGCAGCCAGTACAGGGAAACACAGTCACGGTGAGACCTTAAAAACAATTTTATTTTTGAGTGATGGCTGTTTACCAGTGTTTGTATACACGCAATATCTATTTATATTGTTTGTATACCCGCACCTTGCGTCTTTGTAAACTCGCTATCACAGTGTCTGGTGCGTTTTGTTAGATGTGGCAACTGTGGAATGTTTATCTAGCATCCTTAGTCTGGCTACTATTGTGAGGATCCTTAGGGCCATTCTGAGAGTTTCAACACCATGTAAACAAACACACAGTTGCCACATATCATTAGTGTTATGATGAGTATAGGTGACACAACCAACACAGTGATTTATCTTTGTTACAGACACAAGTGGATGGAATTGTTTAGGGAGCCGTGTATTCATAAAGACTATCAGGCAGTGATGAGGAATTTCCGGTAAGTGACAAGCATCTTCACTCTCTGGTATGTTCTCCTTGGCGTGTGGTAAAGAAGCACCTGACACCATCACCCGCACCACAAGAGTCATCCATCACCTCCTGACACCATCACCCGCACCACAAGAGTCATCCATCACCTCCTGACACCATCACCCGCACCACAAGAGTCATCCATCACCTCCTGACACCATCACCCGCACCACAAGTCATCCATCACCTCCTAACACCATCACCCGCACCACAAGAGTCATCCATCACCTCCTGACACCATCACCCGCACCACAAGAGTCATCCATCACCTCCTGACACCATCACCCGCACCACAAGAGTCATCCATCACCTCCTGACACCATCACCCGCACCACAAGAGTCATCCATCACCTCCTGACACCATCACACCATCACCCGCACCACAAGAGTCATCCATCACCTCCCTAACACCATCACCCAACCACAAGAGTCATCCATCACCTCCTGACACCATCACCCACCACAAGTCATCCATCACCTCCTGACACCATCACCCTGCACCCACAAGAGTCATCCATCACCTCCCTAACACCATCACCCGCACCACAAGAGTCATCCATCACCTCCCTAACACCATCACCCACCATCAAGTCATCCATCACCTCCTGACACCATCACCCACTCCTGACACCATCACCCATCACAAGCATCCATCACAAACACCACTGGCCCGCACCACAAGAGTCATCCATCACCTCCCAACACCATCACCCGCACCACAAGAAGTCATCCATCACCTAACACCATCAACACCATCACCCGCACCCATCACCCGAGTCACCCATCACCTCCTAACACCATCACCCACCACCAAGAGCTGGTCCATCACCTCCCTAACACCATCACCCGCACCACAAGAGTCATCCATCACCTAACACCATCACCCGCACCACAAGAGTCATCCATCACCTCCTGACACCATCACCCGCACCACAAGAGTCATCCATCACCTCCCCTGACACCATCACCCCGCACCAAGTCATCCATCACCTGACACCATCACCCGCACCACAAGAGTCATCCATCGCCTCCTGACACCATCACCCGCACCACAAGAGTCATCCATCACCTAACACATCACCCGCACCACAAATCATCCACCCCTGACACCATCACCCGCACCACAAGTCATCCATCACCTCCTGACACCATCACCCGCATCACAAGAGTCACCATCACCTCCTAACACCATCACCCGCATCACCCGCACCACAAGAGTCATCCATCACCTAACACCATCACCCGCACCACAAGAGTCATCCATCACCTCCTAACACCATCACCCGCACCACAAGAGTCATCCATCACCCCTGACACCATCACCCGCACCACAAGTCATCCATCACCTCCTAACACCATCACCCGCACCACAAGCATCCATCACCTCCTAACACCACACCCGCACCACAGTCATCCATCACCTCCCAACACCATCACCCGCACCACAAGAGTCATCCATCACCTCCTAACACCATCACCGCACCACAAGAGTCATCCATCACCTAACACCATCACCCGCACCACAAGAGTCATCCATCACCTCCTAACACCATCACCCGCACCACAAGAGTCATCCATCACCTCCTGACACCATCACCCGCACCACAAGAGTCATCCATCACCTCCTAACACCATCACCCGCACCACAAGAGTCATCCATCACCTCCTAA